CTTCGACCACACTTGGACACGCACACACGTTCACAACACTGCGATGTTCACCACAACCGCACAAGTGCCTTTCTCATAACTTCCTCAACAGTTACGTCACTCGGGTATTACTTGTCGAAAAGTTATTTGATTATAATTTTATAAAACAATTTGCTATAGTGCGTAGCGGAGAGCATTTTGTCTGTCTTGTTGCAGTTTTTATGTCCAATCAGAACTAATATTTGTATCTCTAAATATATTCACATAAGTCTTCATAACGTATTCGGTTCTATTTCATCATCATCATCAACAGCTTTTAATAGTCCACAGCTGGACCTACGCTTCTTCCTAGAAAGGAGGTTTTGGCTTACTATGCCACACTGGCCAGGCGGGTGGTTATAGGGTTTGTTTCAAGTTTACCTTCCTTTACAGTGCTGTTTTCCTGCGTAGTTTGCTCCCTTAGTCGGCGCTTAGGACACGCACAGGATGAATAGGGGTGGTGACAGAAGTGTCACCACCCCTATTCATCCTGTTAAAAGCTATTTGGTGACGGATCAAGAATACGGAGGTATTCTTAATCCGTCACCACACGGAGGTTCTATGTATGTATGTATGTTTGGGTCTACGTCACATCACACATCACATCAACAGCCTTTAATAGTCCACTGCTGGACATAGGCCTCTCCTTAGAAAGAAGGTTTACTAAGGTTTTAAGGTTTGTTTGGGTCTACGTAGCACATGTAAAAGAACAACATGACTTAAGCACATTACACTGCAAACTAATTAAGTAGGATTGGTTGATGATTGATACGGGTCGACTTAGCAGAATACACGGCTCAAATCGGTGATGTTCTAGCAAATATGTAGGCTTAAATTTCTCAAAACCGTCAGGCCTTTTTGAAAGCTTTAATGATAAGAGCGAAATGCGTGAGTAAATGTTATGTAAAATCTTCGTTAATCGATGTAAGACCGATTTCTTCAAACGGGATATAATCAAGGTATACATTAAAGCATCCATTATCTGGTAATAAGGCGCGTAATGTTGTAATGGTCGTTAAGCGGTGACGAATCAGATCGGAAACTGTCGTCTGTAATTCGACAGATAGCGTCTGTTCCGACAGAGATCGCGTCCGCCTTTCCCCGCCGGCACGTAATGCTTGTTTATGGAATAAATTGTCCTTGAAATTATTGGAAACTGACTTATCTTTAGTGGACGAGCTTTCGCTGTTCCGCTTCAGTGCAGATGAAATTTAACTGGGATACAATTTAACAAACTAACATTATATTGCATATTAAACAGCTTTTATTGCAAATATTAATGTTTCTTAATAACTTTTCAACTAGAGAGGGTGAAAGAGTACTCCCTTATATGGCGGTCAAACCGAAAAAGAGTCAAGCCCGAAACGATATAATTAAGTAATGGTTCAAGAACCAAAATAGCGTACAAGTGTGACGTCACAAGAATAAATACGCGAAGTTAATTTTATTACGGCTTGTAGAGTAGCAAAAAAATAACTCAGTATATTAAATTTACAGAAATAATACCTTTTACCTTTAAACTTCATTCAATCTACTTCATTGAAGTCTCAGTGTAGTAGAGGTACCGCCGTCGAGCATTTACACATCTAATACGCATTAGGCCCGGTATCCACCAACGCAGAGAGAAGAGGAGACGAGAGGAGATGTGTTTTGAAAAACTAATCAGATTTCGTTATTTTCACATCTCCTCTCCGCTTAGCTTCGTTGGAAATGGATCGAGCGGAGAGGAGAGGAGATGTTTAATTTTTCAGAGCAGAGCGGAGATGTGTGTACATACAAATATAGTTGGTGGTCGCGCGGGCGCACGCGCTCTCGCGCCCCGTTCCCCGCTGCCTTCTCCCAGCAAATTCTTGAAAAAGTGTGGCATATTCGCTATGACTGTGACATTTTATATGGTTTCTTATACAGAATCTATGTTGTTGCTATGTTAATATTTTAAATATCGAAGAATTAATCGTATTCCTTCAACCTCTAATTAATCTTCCTCGAGCAAATTAAGATATAACTATCGTAACGACATGACGTTGTTCTTTCGTAGCTATAGTGACTTGACTGACTGGACTTGACAGTACAGTACAGTACTTGACTAGTTTCGAGCTCTCACAGCTTACATCTCTGCTACACACAGCTCACTTCTCCTCTCCGCTACGCATCTATTACTACTTTGGTGAAAATAACCTGCCAGCTTCGCAGCCCATCTCCTCTCGTCTCGTCTTGGATACCGGGTCTTAAGTCTTGAAAACTTTATAGAAAATTGAACTAAGGCGTGTTACAAACTCCGTGTGTTTATTTTACATCAACATATAAATTGCACGCGTGTAAAAAACGATTCTTTGAATGGTACCATCAGGTGTAATTATGGTGAGTGCAACATTCATATTTAAAACCCTTCATTATTTTCCTGCTCTATTCCCAAAGTTAATTGAGGTGTGTAACGTGTAACACTACAAAACGGTTTCAACTGATTTCATTTACGGCGGGCCAATGCCGAACCTCCTTAGGAATGTAAGCGTTTTGAGACAGATAAAAGAGGTAAGAGTTAGGGGAATGGGTAGAGTGAGGAAGGTAGGACAAGTTTCGGATGGGGAAACGGGACTAAAAGTACAGTAGGTTGAATAGACCGGGCTCGTGTATCTGTGTGGGCTCCTGTGATTGGAGACGCTACTAGGACAGGGTCATCATATAGCCGTAACCCTTTAGCCCTCATAGTCTGTTAGGCTGTTTCGAAACTGAACCTAATTAACGTCTATCAAAATTGCTGCCTTATTTGTATCTGCTTGAATAAATTACCCGACTGCGCCAGAAGGGTTATGTAAAGCAGTAACTTATATATTTTGTAACTTTTTACAAAAAAGAAGAAAGTCATAAGACACCATTACGCTTTACATGACATTTCTTTACACAAGGTTGACTACATTCGTGACTTGGGCGTCTCCAATGACTCGAAAGTAAATCTACTACATTATTAACCCCAGTTTTACCCCTTTAGCAATCCTGTACCCTGTAAAATATCGAAAGAGATGGCATTTAAGTTCAAGAAATTGGTTAACAAAAAGGTCCTATTACTGTTCTGCTAAAGGTCTGTCAGTCTTGAAACGCGTTTATCAGATAATAAATTCTACTGTATCTCATGGATACAGTAAGGTAAAGTTCATCATCCTTCTTCTATATAATTATTCTTAATTGATTTATCTCAACAAACAGATCTTAGAATGTGCGATTACTTTAATAGGATTCAAGGCAGTGGTTTCATTGCTAATATGTTTAGTTTATCACATAATTAAACTTATTATGGATCTGGGGAGATCCCCTCGTCTATTAAAACTAAATTGAAAGTGTAGTATGAGGCACAGGGCGCTTGGTCAGTCGGCACCCCACATCGGTGACTATGAACCCGCGCCATTTTGTTTCCAACGACGCCGGAAGTGGCCCGGCGCGGGGATTTATTGCGAGACCGCCTTCCGGTGGCCCACTTGTCTCTGCGCACATGCCATGAAAACGTTTCATTAACGTTACTATGCATTACTATTTTTGTTTAACTATTTATTTTCCCAACGTGGGAACGTCTACAAACCATTAAAGACTTCCCCTTTTTTATACTAGAGAAGACCAACTATTGGTCCATGTTGTTCAACTAGTTGTATATCTGTATTAAACAAGGCTTTAATTTGTTGTTCAACCGATTGCCTTGCTTTTCTTGTGAACTGTTATTTGATTTTTATCTTTACATTTCAGATGAGTTTTATTGAATCATTTAAATACTTTTAGCAAGTCTATTATGATTTCGATGAGGAGGATATGAGTATGGTGAATACCGTAGGCACCGTGGACGTGAAATGTAACATTAGGAGAATTAAAACTCAGAAAACAACGTCTTTAGTTAGCGCAGTGAGTGGATTATTGAAGGTAGCAGCTGTATCTGGTGGGGTTTCTTGTCTTTAACACACGGGAGAAACTGATGACGAAAGAAAAGGAGATGACTCTTACTCCTTCTTTCACTTAATCATGTCGTATCATTTTTAACACACTGAGCTGTCCAATAGATTAAGGGTGGTAGGTAACGATGATCTGATGATGAAGCCAGGATAGTAAAACTTTACATTATTTTACTTTTAAATTCGATTACCCGTTAAGAATGGTTTTTAGTTTTACTAAGCTATAAATTATAATATTATTTACTCTGACGCTGTCACGCGTCACACTCAATACGGCTAACACCATCGTCGTGGCAGGGACACTTAACTCTTTAGAAAACGGTCCCCGCCGGGTCTGAAACTATACGAAGTCTTCAAGTGAGTCAAACCCATCTTGAAAAGTTCCATATGATTTCAACTCACAAAAGCTATTAATTATGTAATTATTATTAATATACTTAGAAGTTTAAACACTGTATAGGACGCAAATCAAAGCGTTTATATGATACGAGTATATCAAGCCATAGAGGCTTACGTAATATCATAGATAATGACTTATATGTATTTAATTTGATTTGTTTTTTTTTTACCTAATTGTATTTTATATAATTAAGAATTGCTTAACTTATTTTTAAATTTCGTTTTTGTTTATTTTAATTTAAATTGCGATATATAAAATTTAATTTAATGATTGTTACGTTATTTTTTATAATTGTCGTTAAAATTTATGTTAAATAAGATCCTAAACAGAGACGTACTTGCTTTTGCCTGCGGTTTCACTTACTCTTAAGCCCTTATTTTTATTTGGGGGACATCTTTGATTTTATATACCTTCCTAACTGCCTGCTTTTTTTAATTACTAGCTAGGTTACCTTTAGGATGTATATCCCCATTAAGTCCCATTGAAATTGCTATCATACATGTTCAAAATTTCTGTGTTCGCGGCAAATTCGCCAAGCTTACAACGCTACGAATAAGGCACTATGAGTGTATACCAATAGGATACTATTAACTGCTGAAGGCGTTGTGAATTTTCAGCGATGATTGTGTTGATATTGATAATGAAAAATGAAACATTCAGGGCAGTTGTCGTGGCGCGTGGGCGAGGGCGAGGTGACCGATGCGCCCGCGCCGCCCACCGTCGCCGCCATAGCGCTCTCAATCAAATCCCGCGGTGAGTCAGCACCACCACTGAAGCACTTCACCACCAAGTAGTAGTAGATCACGTGCACGTGTGTTCGTAGTGTTGATACATTTAAAGTAGGGAATGACGTCACAACTTCCTGTAAACAGAACTAAGGCTGTTTTGTTCACTGTTGGTTACTAAATAGTGACACAATGATTGGTTCTGTTCATTGGTCAACTTCCAGGAAGAAGTTGAACAAGTAACATTATTTTGTCGCACTAGAGTTTTGTCACCTCATTTCATTTTATTTGCAATCGATTTCTTTTATATACCAATACGTGTCAGTTAAATAAGTTTCCTGTTGATGTTCCAAATGTCGTAAACAATAACGCTTTTACAAATGATGTATTGCTTTTAAATCGCGCGGCAGGTCCAAGGTCAAGGTCAAGGTCCATGTTCGTATCTCGTCCAATACAGTACCGGCATATACAACAATTTAGTTTAGCTGAAGATGTAAAATAAACAAGAATATCAGTAATGTAATAATTCTTGTGACGGTGACGGATTAAGAATACAGAGTGTTCCTATTCATCCCGTGGGTGTCGTAAGAGGTGACTAAAGACGCAAACGATGCAGGACAACAGCACTGCAGAGAGAAGGAAAACTAGACACAAACCCTATTCCAACCCGTCTGGCCAGCGTGGTATAGTAGGCCAAAACATCCTTTCTAAGGAGAGGCCTATATCCAGCAGTGGACTAGTAAAGGCTGTTGATGTGATGTGAATAATTCTTGTATAAAATAAGCCTTCTGGAGCAGTCGGTCAAGAAGTACGTACCTATGCATGCTTTGATAACGATAGACAGGTCTAGTTCTTGTAGTTGCCACAGTTGATTCACCCTTCACAGTACTGCATTGCGTGACCAAGCAAATATAAAAGGAAGAAAATATGTCATCCTGTGACCTGTTTTCAACTCGTTATTTCAAGCCGTTCCAAAGAAGTTTCACATATTAAAACTTGATTTAAATTTTAAATTTAATTACTGCTATTCATACACAGTTACGCAATGCTATACGTAGGTACAGTAAGGATTAAGATTGTAATGTCTAACTTTGAAAAACAAAAACACCCACATCAATAAGCCTAAGTCATTGTAAATTTAAAAAAAGCCGTATTCTTCGTTCTTTTATTTTTGGCTGATAACTGTGGAATAATTTCATCAAATTTAAATAAAATCAACCTTGAATAGAATTAGTTCAATTAAAATAATTTGAAGCGATTCACAAATGGTGAAAAGATGGCGTAACACAGACAAAAAATTCGATCTAATTGGAAACCTCTTCTTTTTTTAAATATGTTAAAACAACATTAAATCAATAACGAAAAAGTTTCACACGGAACTTATTACGCAACCACACACTTGTGCTAAATATCATTTTACCCTTATGTTATTTGGAAACGAAATATAATATTTAATTAACAAATTAAAATGTTCTCGTATTCGCTCGGCTCACTTTCGACTTACTTTCACTGGATGGTCATTATTTGTGATGAAACGAACGCCTCTGTCGGATCCATAAGTATCATATTGTTACAAATTACAATAAGTATAGTTCGAGGTGCGCAGGCGCAAAGTGGCTTGCGGTTTATGGTAATGTCAGTGTTTGTGGTCGCACTCGCGATAAGTTAAAGCAATCTACTGGAGATTATGATTTAGGGAAAGTAAAGACGAACAATTTGTGGCTATGATTTCTAGAAGTTTCTACTAATTTTATTTTGAAGGTTAAACAGTCTTGACCTCTGTAATTCTAACTTTCTATACAGCTAAACACTATCAAAACGATATGTGTTCTTTTGAATTATATTAAATTAGACTGAGGTGAGGATCTCCATTGTTGAAAATGGTATGAGGTCACGGTTCGGTGTGTAATGTGACGTAAGCAAGCAAGCAAAGTCAGTGTTTCAAAATGTTATGACGAAGCGTCACTATGGTTAGCTGCTTGGAATGGGCGAGTACAATATACGCGCCGATGTTACTTCAGAGGAAGGTTACGTCTAATTTTACAATACATAGTCATTAAACTCAGGGGGAGTTTAATGACTATGTATTGTAAAATTATTCCTTGTACAAATATGAATATAGCTGGCAATGTATAACATTGAAAAGGGCAGCTATCGTTCGGAGCAAGAGTGCGTGGAACTCTGCCGTCTCCTTCTGCGAGCAAGTTATCCTTGCGAATCAGATGGCGGAGCGGGACCGGGAGAGGTTTAGAACTCTCCCGGCCCGTAAGGCTCCGGAACTTTTTCTCTTTCGGGAGCACAGAGGGAACATGGGGGTTCCCACACAAGGGGGGTCGTCTACCCGCCGTAGATGGCCCGAGGTACGTCGGGGTTGGTTCCCCGACGTACCTCTGGTACTACTGAATACTGGTACCTGAGACGGCGTGTGGTTTTAGTCGGTTCGAGTCCGACATTGCCACCGGTAAGTGGTATCCGAGGGGATTTCCCCACAGAAAAAAAAGAACAAAAAAAAAAGAAAAAGGGGAGTCACCCAAAACCTCAACTCTAGGACAAGAAGCTCTTAGAGGGGGTAATGCACTTGTGTATCTTGAGCTGCAGATATCCATGTTCGGTGGTAGTCACTTTCCATCAGATGAACTGTCAATAGACAGTACTAAAACTAAAAAGTTAGTAATGGAAAACGTGACCGAGACAGCAGTAGCTCGAAGAGGCTCAAACCATGTAAATAAAGCTGTGACTTTAAAAGCGGCTAGGATAAGGCGAACATCGACTGGTCCTTTTATCTCCTTCCTCCTCTTATACATCTTGAAGGAGTTATTTCGAATAAACTCACAACTCTTTGTTTGATACCTACAAATATCTAATAGGGATTGAATTAAATCGCAATCACATGTGATAAATCATATGATTTACAAATCAGTCTAAATCAAAAAAGAGGTCGTAATCTCTAACACATTTTTATTGATTTTATTGGCATTTATCTTTGTCTATGACGAAATCACCATCACCTATGAAATCAATTTGTCTAAAACCAATCATTTCATCAAATGAATATGATTCTCAAAGTAGCAATAATTTCCAAGTCTAATATCTACTGTTGAATATATTGTTGAGCCGTCATATAATGGGAATGGCTACCATACCATCTGGCTTACAAAACGTGTCCTAGAACAGATTCGAATTGATTTTAAAATGAAATTGTACAATATTTAGAACATCAAAATCAACTTCCCCTTAGAAATAAAACTTAAAGTTGTATTCTAGGAAATAAATATAAATGTATAAATGAAAATTATAAATAATAGTTTCAGGAAATAAACAGAAATTTTACACACATTTTAAATATTACGAAGTATTTAAATTTAATATAACTATGTAACGTTGATTATAATATTTTCAATAACTAAGTAACTAACAATCAAATAACTTTGCCACATTCTTGATTTTTATTGGTCTTCGATTCCAGAATGTTATTGAGTTGTCGTTATCTGTTTTTTTGCTTTCCTAATAAGGAGGAGGAGGAGTTGGGGCTTGTGCTTACCTACTCTAGACAAACAAGTGATCAAAAGTAGAATAGCACTTCTCGCAAAAAGAGAAAAACAGAATCGCTGAAGCACCTGTGTTTGAGATTCCACGGACTGTTAATAAACGAAACTTGCTACATTGGAGTGTAGGTACTAAACGGACAGCTGGAGGAGCACTAACTGTCACTTAACGAGTTGTTCAAATTATATTCGAGTCTTTAGGTACTTTCGACTAGAAATTAGAACGCTGACAAATATTGCCCACTGACTCCCATTATCTTTTTTTCCCCTACTCCACTCAGATTTAGACAGTAAAGTTTCTGAACTTTCCTTCGTAAAGCGATCAGTCATTAAGGCATCTATAGTTTTATCTGAGTACCATATGCCCTAAACGAGTTTGTGTATAATAATCAGAAAGATAAAATTGCTCTAATGCCAAAATTATATTTTATAGCTTTTTATTATATATTAGTTCACGGGATATTACAACAAAACATGATAGAAAACTTTAGTGTGGTACCTAACTATGATTGCTCGTAGTTCCTTGCCGTAACCACAGGCTGTTCGAGGATTTTTAGTATTCAGGCGTTCGATGATTCAGAGATTTATATATATTTATTTATATTTTACTACATTCACACAACGCCATCAAGTCCCAAACTAAGCAGAGCTTGTACTATGGCCACTAGACAACTGATATAAATACATATATACTTTTTTTTTTGTAAATACATACATATTACACATAGAAACAACCAGACCAATTCAAACATTAAATTTTAATGCACACAAATGTTTGAGTTGAGCGGGAATGGAACCCGCGACCTTTGGAATAGCGGTCCGTTACACCAACCACTATGGCATCCGGTCGTCAAAAATAATGTCAAAAATGAGTTTGTTGTCTATTATCACCTTTTCATATTTACGAAAATACCGGCGAATTGAATTCAGGTTATTATTTCCTGATTCTAACTTTTATAACCGTGTCCAAACGTTTACCTTCTTTTGTTATTTTTTTCCTCAAGGATAAAACAGTTTTTGCGAAACATTTTGAATTTGTGAATGTTTTTTATTTGTCATCATCTGTGATAACATCCATATTTATATTATAAAGTAAACTTGTTTGTTTGTTACGCTTTCATGCCTAAACCGATTTTAAAAATACTTTCACCAATAGATAGCTCCATTATCAGCGAGTAACATGGGCTACTTTTTACCGTGATAACCGACATACAAAGCTAGTAAAGTTTTTTTTGGTATAAGGGGGCAAACGAGCAGACGGGTCACCTGATGGTAAGCAACTACCGCCGCCCATGGACACCTGCAACTCAAAAGTCACAAGTGCGTTGCTGCCTTTAGAGTACCTCCCGCTCGAGTCAGCGGGAGGGTGGATTTGGGCTCCGGTAACCTCACTCACTCAGTGAAAGGCAACAAAAGAATTGCTTAACACCGGTTTTCTGTGAGGCCGTGGTATCACTCCGGTCGAGCCGGCCCATTCGTGCCGAAGCTTCGCTATCCCACGGTATAGTAAGAAACTTCAGAAAGGGCACCTCAAATCAGTGACAATATAGACATTTGGGCAGAGACCTAAATCCAAATATAATACAATTTTTTCAGGCTCTTCTGTACTTTTACTATCATCCTCTGTACTTACAAATATCCGTTAGATACTTATAGCTCATAAATTATATTTATTTAACACTTGGTACGTTTGTTAGAACATGTCTTGTAACACCTATGTCAGTTGATTGCAATAATTGCGTTAATTTCCGTGGCTAATTAATTGGTTCAAAAGGTATTTCTAAATAAATTTGTAATCAATTCGTCATAAGGCCTAGTAGTATACTTATGACGATTAGTGCTAACTTTTAGCACTAATCGTCGTATCGACTGTATCGTAGGCAGCTGATAGGTCCACGAATACAGCACCAGTGACCATTCCTCTCCCGAAGCCATCTTCAATGTGTTTACCACTTTAAGAGTCTGGTTACTGCAAGACTTCACGGGTCTGAAACCAGCTTGCTCGGGAATCAGTTTTGGATCAATGACGCCCATAAGACGGCTCAGCAGCAGTCTCTCGAATAGTTTATATGTGTGACATAGTAGCGTATTGTCCGTGTAGTGACGGATTAAGAATACGTAATGTCACTACCCCAATTCATACCGTGGGTGTCGTAAGAGCCGACTAAGGGAGCCAAACAACGCAGGACACCAGCGTTGCAAAAAGAAGGAAAACTTGACACAAACCCTATTCCAACCCGTCAGGCCAGCGTGGTATAGTAGGCCAAAACTTCCTTTCTAATGAGAGGCATATATCCAGCAGTGGACTATTAAAGGCTGTTGATGAGGTTTGCGTATTAAGTGAACATATGTTCGTTCAAATTTTGCAAGATAAAAATAAGGATGTGTTTCTTTTGTGTTTTCGTTTTGTTCCGTTAATTTTGATTGCATTCTGATTATGCATAAAGTTAACGCACATATTACCACCTGAAACGTATAGGTACGCGAAACCAACAATGATTTTTTATACTCATTCAACCATTTTTAATGACCGATCCTAGTGTTAACGGCAATTTTTGTGCATTACATCATCCAAAGCCTTTAATTCTATTCTCTATCTATATATATATAGATTCTAAAATTAATAGTTCACTGCTGGACTCTCCTTAAAAAGGAGGTTTTGGCCTACTATATGCATTGCATTACACAACAGTCATTGAAATACTTGAAATGTAGATAATTTAATGTTATATAGATATTATATATCATTGTGTAAGTGGCTGCAATACGAGTATTTATTGATATTTAAAAAAAAAACATTAGGTAATTGTCGTCGAACCTCAATCGCTTAAGACGAAGTGATAATATAAAGTTTTTTACTAGTACAAGATTTGACAAATACTAAGATTATAAATTCAGATATAAGAACTTAAATAAAAGTCATACTAATTAACCAAATAAATTTAATTAAGAAGAAATTAAGATATTCGTAGAACACCTAACAACAGTCAAGAACTGTTAAAAAGCTTTTTTAAGAAAAGAAGAAAGAGCAGATTAGGATGTTATAAAAAAAACTAATCGCTTTTATGTAAATATTCTTTTAAGATTTTTTAAACAAAGATGTCCTTTTTGAGTCATGTTCCAAGACTAATAATCTCAGCGGACTCCAGTGCGGTAAATAATGAGTCACACCTATCTACATAGCATAGGTAGCGGCGCATAGACTTGGCATGTGATACGGTCCGCCGCGCGGCTCCTCTACGAAAACTACTTTTTATTCTGTAGGTTTTTTTTTCTACTTAATGAACTCGTGCGCTATGACACGCAAGTCAAAGGGAACAACGCAGTGGACAACAGGTGATTTTCAGGTTTAACCTGTGCTAATTGGCGTAATTATTGCCCTTTTGTCCATTTTTACTGGGGTCGGTATAATGTGTAATGCTACAAGAAGTTTTGGCTGGTTTCTTTTACGGCAGCTTGATAACAATCCTTTTTATGCATATTATTTTATTCAAACGGGATAATAGAAGATGGGATGAATGGCTTCGAATAGAATGCTGATTGTGGTTTGTCAAAGAGTACTGTGGTAATCTACCCGTAGCATTCGTCCGTCCTGTTGCTGGACAGGCTACGAGGACAGGAACATCTACTGGCTGTCAAAATGATGGTAACAACAATATCACTTTTAAAACCTTCTTGCATATTCATATAGATAATTTACACGAACACGTTCTTCATTTGAATAACTACATATTCATTTTTAATCGCATAAAATAGGGTAAACGTCTCATTACATGAAGGAAATGACCTGCCTCCTTCCACCCCAACCCCCCTTGTCCTAGATAGATAAGTGGACTAATGGCGCGACCTGATTAAACGCATTAGACTTATTGATGTACCCTCAATGACTGTTGATACACCGAACTTAAAACGAGAACGATACTTTATCAAACTACATTGTAACAATGAAATAATACATATTTTTGGTGGTGTAAGTATTGGTTTTTGGCAAATGAGAAGACGTGACACCTTTTTTTCTCGTGCGGAACTCGGACGGATACCACCCATCAGTGGGGTGATTAGGTCGGACTCGAACTGACCTACTGATTCCGTCACATGTGAGTTTATTGCAAGGGACTCGGTTGTGCGGCACGCGGGAAGTCCCCGAGAATATTGTTGTAAGATATGCGCTGTATTAAAAATGAAGTGTTTGATTATAGGTGATTATTTTTCTCCAATTATGGTATTTGTTAAAACAAAAAAAAATATATTGTTTGGATGTGCTCAGTGTGTTTTTTGTTTGTGCAGCACACTTTGACGGTGACGAACGTAGGCTTGGAGGTAAAACGCTAATCCTAAATTAATCGTAATATTATAAATAATTCTGAGTTTGTTTGTTTGAGACATTTGCACACATTTCGTTAGAATACAGAGAAAAGAACGTATCATCCAGAAAAAAGTACTGTTCTCCAAGTATGGAAATATACCTTTTAACGCAAAAATTTACTTGTATATGTAAACTAGTTTTTCAATGTATTGTTTGTGTTACAGCGATCCAGGACAGTCGATGTTATTTGATGAATGGCGGCGCGGTCGAGAGCTTCTTCATCAGCGAGGATACTCCTGTCGGAAGTGTAATCGGTGAGTGTCTGATTAGCCTGATATTTTATCATAACTTTTATTCAAAGACGGGCCTGTGGGTCTAGTGGTTTAGTGACCCTGACGGGTAAGTCGGAGGTCATGGGTTCGATTCCCACCCAGGACAAATATTGTGTGATGAGCACGGTTATTTGTTCTATGTCTGGGTGTAATTTATCTATAATATGTATGTATTTAAAATATGTTTAAGCATGTTTAACAGCAGTATGGTTACCGTAGCACAGACTCTGTCTAGTTTGGGATCAGACGGCCGTGTGTGAGATGTGTAAGGTATATTATTATTTCCATTGTCTTCTATTCATGGTTGACAATGAGTAAAACAGTTACGCAATGGCTGAAATAACTTCCGACCTCCCCCAGCATTCTATCGCAGTGATACCTGAAGTAGGTACTGTGTTACCCAATGGTTACCTAGAAAAGTCCTGTGACTGTGAAATGATATTTGTGAAACCCCTGTGGGTTTCACAAATATCATTTTGAAAAAGTAATAAACTACTTTTTGAGATAAACCATTACATTTATGCAGTTAGCAAGAATTATACGGCTCCCAGACACGATCATGCAAATGTCGTCTAGATATGCTTGCGCTTGCATTTTGTATTTTATTAAAGTAACATTTAATTTAACTTTCGTTTACAAAAATAATTTTGTAAATCGGTACACAATAGACGGAGATGTCGCGTAACAAACATACAAAAAAATACAGTCGAATTGAGAACATCGTCTTTTGCTTTTTTGAAGTCGATTAAAAACTGTATGAGATTCCATTGAATCACAGGGATATGAGGACTGTTCAGTTAACCTAAAGCTTAGGGTACCCTGCTCTACTGACTTCAACCCACACCTAATTTGAGCATTGAGGTTAGCTATTTTCAAAACATGCCACTTCCGTATACGAGGGTTTTATCATACACAAAACCATTATTATACATTGCAGGTACACTAAGCGTCAATGGTGATCCGAGCGAAGAGCAGGGTGACATCACCCTGCGCCTGCAGGAAAAGGGTGCTGCGATAGGCATATCGCCCGGCACCAAGAACCTGACGCTGCTGCGAGCTCTCGACCGCGAGGAGAAGAAGGGACCTTCCAATGTGTATGTGAACGTAAGATGTGATAGAAGACGGACTACCGATCCGGTGAGTACTGCTGCTAATTATTAGACTTGCAACGAGTATTCGGTTACTATTCGGTATTCGGCCTATTCGGCCGCTTTTATTATATTCGGCCGAATACCGAATATCTACATATTATTCGGCCGAATACCGAATACTTAAATAATATATTTTGTCATTGAGAAATAATTGGTAAAATGAAAAATTAAAATCGATTGATTACGTATATATTCATATTTTCATTTCTGTTATAATCACTTAAGTAGTCATTGGTGCATAACACAGGTACATAATCATTTTCTGAATAGGAAAAATGGAGGATTCTATGTATTTGAATTATTGTGGTAATCAAAATTTAGAAGGGTAAGGTTCTCATTTCTTTTATAATCATTTATTAAGTAGTCATTGGTACATAAAACAGGTACATAATTTAATTCACGTCTGTACAAGTTTTTGGCGCTAAAATCCAGCCGAATACTTTTGCCTAATATTCGGCTATTCGGTCAGGGGCCAAAAGGGTTTAAAATTAAAACATTTATTTGACATGCTAGCATAGCATGCTCAGGAAAATAATAACTTGATCTTGACTCGATTGCTATTTTATTGCAACACCAAATTGTGATGTGAAATACCATGTGAATTAAGAAACATTAAATTAGCTATGAGACCCATAGACACGTAGTTTAAACTGATAACCCCAAAGGCAAAGGAAGAGTTCTTTTAGGGGATTTAAAAATTAGCACGGATGGTCAGATATAACCTTATGAATTAATACAATGTTGAATTAATGTTAATTCAAACAAGAACTTTTTTAAACTTTAAGTTTGGAAACTGTTACCTTTAATTATATTTTGAGGTATACGTGTGATGTGTCAGACTAATAAAATTAAATATAATATATATAAATAAATAATAACTAGCCTAGTGTGTAGTGGCGTAGTGGTTTAAGCGGTTACCTCGCTGCTTCCTACTGCGCTGAGTGTTGTGGGTTCGATCTGAGTCTGAGGTGTGTGATCCACAAATTGTTTTTCTAAGTCTGAGTGTTCTTTGTGTCCGTTTCATCGATATTTGTAAAGTCCCCTGCATCACAGAACATAATCCTAATGCGGGAGTTGTCTTTTTTTAAATAAAGAGTAAAAAAAAGCCTTTTATATGGGTTAAAACATGTAATGGAAGCAATGAAATAGCACTATATGTTTCATCTGTTTTACAAAACATGACAATATTTCTTTCCTGGTCAGCCTATACATATAATGATTTATTGACAAAGCGAGAAAAGTGCTTTGGCATATCTGTTTATTGTAACTGTATCTTTATGAGTAATTACTCGTATGTTTATATTCTTGCACAGGACGTAATTTCTTGTTATTCTAATTCGTAATTTCTTGTTAGTTCTTTCTTCTTTTGAAAATTTAAAAGTTATTTGTTTTTTCATGCATAGCATGCGCACCTTTTTTTTTTTCCCGTGCGGAAATCCCCTCGGATACCACCTGTCGGTGGCATGTCGGACTCGAACCGACTAAAACCGCACGCCGTCGCCGGGTACTAATAGCCGGGGAACCAGGTATACCCTAGAAAGGAAGTCCCTGGTGCCCCGACATACCTCGGGTCATCTACAGACGAGTAGACGACCCCCCCCGTGTGGGAACCCCATGTTCCCTGTGCTCCCTGGAAGCGAGCGCGCTTCGCAACGCGCTCGCCGCCACCCCGGCCTGCTTCTGCTAGGGTGACAGATGGCCTCACCTGTCACCCCCAGGCCTGCGCTTATGGAGGACGGAGGTCGTTCTGCGACCTCCGGCGCCTGAGTCGCCTGCGGTGCCTGGCCCGTTCCCGGGCCTGGCGGGCCGGGAGAGTCCTAAACCTCTCCCGGTCCCGCTCCGCCGTCTCCTTCGCGAGCATTACTTGCTCGCAGAAGGAGACGGCAGAGTTCCACGCACTCTCGCTCCGCACGATAGCCGCAATCAGGCTATCGAGCGAGAGAACTCCCACTCCGATGGCCGCCACGAGGTTTGTAAAGTCCCCTGCAACACAGAACATAATCCTAATGCGGGAGTTGTCTTTTTTAAATAAAGAGTAAAAAAAGGCCTTTTCTATGGGTTAAAACATGTAATGAAATCACTGAAATAGCACTATATGTTTCATCTGTTTTACAAAACATGACAACTTTCCTGGTCAGCCTAAACATATAATGATTTATTGACAAAGCGAGAAAAGTGCTTTGGCATATCTGTTTATTGTAACTGTATCTTTATGAGTAATTACTCGTATGTTTATATTCTTGCACAGGACGTAATTTCTTGTTATTCTAATTCGTAATTTCTTGTTAGTTCTTTCTTCTTTTGAAAATTTAAAAGTTATTTGTTTTTTCATGCATAGCATGCGCACCTGTCTTTTTCATTCTCGGAAGCGTGCATGAGAAATACATACGACGATAACCAACATACGATATACATTGTAGTTTTTGTAAAACTAATACAACATAGATATATTTACAGAGACATCACTTGTATTGTCTTATTTATTATTCATCTTTATCATCGTCATCAATAGCCTTTAATAGTCCACTGCTGAACACAGGCCTTTCCTAAGAAAGGTGGTTTTGGCCTACTATTATTTATTTATTTATTTGTGTCACATAACTCATAGTGTTAGTAACAATTTGATTTATATCTATCTATACCACGCTGGCCAGACGGGTTGGTTTAGGGTTTGTTCCAAGTTCTCCTTCTCTTTGCATTTTTTGTTATACTGCAGAGTTTGTTCCCTTAAGAGCCCACGCTCTTACGATACCCACGGGATGAATAGGGGTGGTACTGGTGGCACTACGTATTCTTAATCCGTCACAACACGGACAGATTTATAATTAAGTTGGCTAATTAAATGTTGTAGCAATATGACAATTTTCGTCAAGGCTAGCGTATCCATTGCATTTTTCGTTAAAGTACAAAATGTTTATTTCCAGAGTTTTATAATACCAGTTTCCATACGTGTGTGGGATGTGAACGACAACGCCCCAGTCTGGCAGGGGGCTCCGTACAAGGTGCGACTGTCAGAGTTGACGGCAGTGGGTACCCGAGTGGCGGTAGGCGCCAGGGCTACTGACGCAGACCAGGCGGGACCACATGCTACCATACATTATTCGATATTACCAGGACCACATAGCGTGAGTACTGGTCTTTATGAATATTTTTACTTGTGACTGATTTGGGCATTCTTCAAATTTTTTTGAAGTATTAATTACCAGAATTATATTATATTTTAGTTTGCTACATCTCTCGCAGTTTAGTACATGATGTCAATCAGTTTTCTCTGCCATGGAAACACTAAATTTTTGTTTTGCTAACCAGTATATTTATTTCACTAAATATTTGATAAAACAGAGATTGTTGCTATTGTGATATTTCAAAACGTTACGTGAACGTTACGAATGTTAATATGAAACTAAATAAAAACCGATGTCTAAGTATGTAGCATTCAATTTGGCAGGATTACCTGGGTTTCCCGAATGAACTGGACAGCGTATTGACTGTAAAGAAGCCTCTCGATTACGAGACCCTTAAGAATTTCACCATCACTCTACGTGCTCAGGACGCAGGGACGCCTCCTTTGCACAACGATACTGAACTGCGTGTCCAGGTGCTGGATGCGGATGATCAGAACCCTAAATTTAGTCATGAGCATTATACCGCGGTGTTACCCGAAGATGTTAAAGAGGTATGGATAAAAAGAAGATTATAACTAATTATATCAAGCAATCTGCGCTAACTGTGGGTAGACCCCCGGGCTTCATTAGTGAACTAAAAGGGGGGTTGTCCGTATGTAAAAAATACCTTAAAGAAAATATTCAAGTGAAGGAAAGGTTTAGCGAAGTTTGTTGTCAACTATTTCCATTTTCCAGGGTGCAGTATTATCAACGTCTCCTGGACCAATTTCGGCTGTGGACCAGGACGTGGGTATTAATGCTCCACTGCAGTACTCGGCAACAGGAGACAATGGGCGTCTGATCACCGTGGACAAGGACACGGGACAAGTAGGTGCTACGAAACAACTTATAGAGGAACTGAACCAGCCTGTCACTGTAGTTATAAAGGTGAGTTAAAGCCGTCATTCTACAGGTTTATGGAAATGTTCCATACTAGCATAACTCAGATTTTACATGTGACAAGAAGTTGTTGAGATATAGACACCGCAGGAACCCAATGATTAATAATAATAAAATTTGTTATATACTTTCAGACAGAACAGTAATACTCGATATGAGTTGACACATTGTTGAATGATAATTTTAAGCTTCGTAAATTGTGATCATTATGTTTTTTAATGTTTTGTTTTTAGGCCACACAAGTAGACAATTCAGACCGCTATGCTCTTGCAACCCTGTCTATACGACGCGCGGGTCCCATCGGGAGGTTTATTTCATCAACACCAACACCAGCAGCGGGAGGCCCGGTGCGCTTCCGACGCAAGCAGTTCAGTGCCAGCGTCAGCGAGGCGGCCGCGCCGGGACACGTGGTGCTCACCTTGAATACTGTTCCGCCTGCGAATTCTTTGCAGGTTAGTGTTGGCTTCATCTTAATAAGCGATCTTCACTCTGTATATTTTCTTGTTTCGTACCATTTTGACAGAACTTAAATCAGTCTAGTAATAATTTCATCTTATGTGTTTCAGAACAATCTCCAGTTCTACGTGTCAGATCGTTCGTTCCTGGAAAAATTCGCCATCAACAGCGCTGGTGAAGTGGTTTTGAGGCGTGCGCTCGACTACGAGGATAAGGATGGATACTACTATCAAGTTATGTTAACCGATGGAATATCGGTGAGCTTAGATTTAACTATCTGTTGTATCGTGGCCGATGTGCATTTTAAATAAGAGCATTCACTATGTTCTTATTTCAGAACGACACAGCGTCAATTAACATCTCAGTGATAAACGTCAACGAGTGGGAACCGCGCTTCAAATACCCGCAGTATGAGTTCAGGGTGGAGGATGACACGAGTGACGATACCGAGATGTTACCGGTCGGCAAACTGGACGTGTTCGATGGAGATAAATTGGACAGTGTCACTCTTACTCTGAGAGGGTCCGGTTCTGAGTGAGTACTTACAATTTATACGAGTAATTTTTAAAGATTATAAATACATGTATGACATTTTTTAGATCTAAGAAATTAAATTATTTAGTCCGTGTTAGTCCGTACCTCTATTCATCCCGTGGGTGTCGTAAGAGGCGACTAAGGGAGCAAAACTACCCAGGACAACAGCACTGCATAGAGAAGGAAAACTTAACACAAACCCTATATCAACTCGTCTGGCCAGCGTGGTATAGTAGGCCAAAACCTCCTTTCTAAGGAGAGGCCTATGTCCAGCAGTGGACTATTGAAGGCTGTCGATGATGATGATGAAATGAGTTAATCTAAAGACAATACGTCACGAACATTGCATTAAATATGTGAACGATCTGCCGTCCAGGATGCTGTACGTGAACTCTTCGGGCGACATGTTCCTGCGCTCGGGCGCGCTGCGCTCGCTGAACTCGTCCGTGCTCCACGTCGTGGCCACCGCCGTGGACTCCGGCGCGCCGCCGCGACAGGTACCACAGGATCACCTACTTCGGTCGATATGTTCTTGCGTCTCGTCTTAGACAGTGAAATGAAATGATACTTTAATTGCAGAAATATGGTACATGGGCTGTTTATAGTTATTAGAAGATAATCACATATTTCGTCAGTCTGTTCTGACATGCAAAATTTAAAACGTACGTGCATATTATAACAACAGATTGATTTAATAACAAACTACTAAGCTCATGTCAATAAACAATTTACATAATGTCAAATATATAATTGCGATGTCAACTTTTTCAATCCGATAATTTATTTCTAATATAGAACACAACATACAATAAAATATTATCAGACGTTTTTGTAATTATCGCTCGTTTAGGTATTCGGTTACTGAGTATATCATTTTTTCCAAAAGCCATATTTTCAATTCCCTTTTAAATTTCAGTAGGGGCAACGTCTTTATAGTTGGTGGCAAGCTATTAAACATTGATACACATATTATAACATATTTTTTTGGAATAGTGTAGTTCTGGGAACAAAATCCAGGACTAGTCTTTCACTGCCCCGAGTGTTGCGTGGGAATATATCTTTTGCTTTTTAAATAAACTAGGATTACTTTTAACAAATACACTTACTTCAAAGATGTACAAACAGGGCAACGATTATATTTCATATTTTCTAAAATAAAGTTTGCAAGATTCATAAGGAGGAATTCCCACCATAGCCCGAACACATCTCTTCTGGGATGAAAACGCCCGGGTAGCATCTACTGAGTTTCCCCACAACAATAGACCGTATCTCAATACAGAACCTACGTGACCATGTTAGGCGAGAAGTACTGTCTGCTGAGTAGCGGTTCTTCTTAGTCGGTTAAGCAGACTGAATCGACGTCTGTCTTCCAGTTGCAATATTTATAACAGTATCGCCATATCTTATATCTCTAAGATTTAGTTTTGAGCTTTGAGTTTGGAGTTGTATGAAATTGGTTTTGGAAAGATTAGCATTTAAGTTATTATTATTTAGCCATTCTATTACGAATTTTATTGTATTATTAATATCAAAGTCATAATTTGTACCAATTTTGGATGTCAATATAATTGAAATGTCGTCAGCAAATAATATACATTTATGAGTAGTAATGTCTGGTAAGTCATTAATATAGACTAAGAATAGTAATGGACCCAATATACTTCCTTGAGGAACCCCATATTAGTTAGTTAAAAGTGTGGACCTCTCCCTAGTGATCACTGAATTATCATTTTTAATTTTATCCACACATTGTTCGCGATTCTTCAGGTAGCATTTAATCCATTCATGTGCTGGGCACATTAAATGTTGCTTGCTGATTAAATGCTGAATTCCGTAATTCTCAAGTTTTTCAAGTAGCAGCTGATGCGAAACATGGTCAAAGGCTTTTGTCATGTCAAAGAATATTACTATTGTAGGTTTTTTATTGTGTGTGTTTTTTAGTGTGACAGTGACATAAACTGGCTCTAGTGTTAGGGCAAATCGTGATTCGTATAATTAGTACCGATTTTAAGTAAGATGTAACATTTATTTTGAATTTGCTGTTTTAGTTTTTAGGCTACATTAACAAAAATGAGCATTTTTATTGCATCGTTGACTAAATTTATTAATTGACCGACTATTCTATTGGTGCTTATTATTTTTCTTAATCAGGTAGGATAATAAAGAAAAATAAAAAGCACCACGTATAAATCTTTAATACAGAAAGCACTCAGGATGTGTCGGACCGTTTCAGACGTCCGTCCCGGTGACGGTGCACGTGAACGAGCGTCTGCTGCAGCCGGGCGTGGGCGTGGGCGGGGGCGGGGGCCGGGTGGAGGGGAGCGCGGGGGTGGTGGCGCTGTTCGCGGCGGCGCTGGCGGCGCTCGCCGTGCTGGTGTGCGCGCTGCTGCTCTACATCTATAGAGTGTGAGTACGTCCACCATACTTATTTTTATATCAACTTTAGTCATTTAAAGCCTTATAAGAATTGACTGCGCATAGTGTTTACTCATCCTAGGATTAGTTAGCTGTGGTGCGAAGTAATAGGGGTTAAAGTATGAAATTGCCGTTGTATAGTAATTAGATACTTTGAATTGACATAAAACCTTCATGGAGTGAGATTTTCGTGTGAAACTTTTTTCACTTGATACCTTTAGGTTCGTTGTTTAAAAATGTGCAACATTCGATTTTCGACTTTTTTTTTATTCAGCTTAGACGTGAAAGATGAATACTTCGAAAATCCTTGACACTTTTGTATACGAGTTCCGACGCGGTTATTGTTGGTTTTTGACCCATTTGCATCAAATCAATAAGATAATAAAATATAAAAAAATTGGTCCCCTAATGATTTGACTGATCTGCAGAAAGAAATGCGTGTTGAAACTTTTGTTGCGCTATTGAATCGGTACAGAAATGAAGGAATATTGGATCGAATTGTGACATGTGACGAAAAGTGGATTGTTTACGATAATCGTAAGCAAAAAATGCAATAGCTGACCCCAGGTCAAACGCCGCAACAGTGGACAATGTGTGGGTAGTGGCAACTTAACCGACTGGGCCGAAGTAGACGGTTAATAATAGCAAAAGGAAAAAACCTTCTTGTTAGATAACTGACAATACGTACATGTTTTTTAACATATCTGCAGTGTAAGTTTAGTTCTGTTATAGCTTTTTTTTAAATATTTGTTAAAGGAAAAAGAAATTATAACCTTTTTTCTTTTTGCTGTTATTAACCATCTACTTCGGTCCAGTCGGTAAGTTAACAATAATCAATTACACATAAATAGTAAAAAAACATAAAATAAAGAATATAAGTTATAAAAAAAAAGAAAAATTACGGCAAATAAAAAAAGTCCAATATCTTTAAAATGGTTAGGTTTGGAATATGGTATTTCATAGTGAAATCTATCAGAAATAATGGCAGCTACAACCCCTTATAGTATTTAGGTCTTCTCACCCAGTAACCCCGTATAACAGAACGTTAACGATAGGTGTTGTATGTTTCATAGCCGTCGTAGATCTAAGCAAACCTCCGGGTACGTTGCACACGAGAAACCAGCGCAGGCGTCCGCTACCAACTCCGCCGCGCCCCCCTCCGCCCCGTCACCCATCGCGCCCTCCGCGGGGGAGCCCTCAGGGGGCGCGGGGGCGCTGGGCGGAGGGGCGGGGGGGGCCGGGGGGGCGCCCGCCCTGCGCGCCTCGGGCAGCGCGGGGTCGCTGCTGAGCGTGAGCGCGGGCGCCAGCACCATCCTCGCCAACTCCACGTCCAGCCTCGACCTGCACCAGGACACGCAGAACCACGGTACGCGCTCGCACCTACTTCTCGTCCATAACCCTACGCTTTCACTTATCGCTTAATAATAAAAATATAAATGTCTTCATAAAGTCTTTCACATCATCACATCAACAGCAGGCCAGGCCTCTCCTTAGAAAGGAGGTTTTGGCCTTACTATACCACGCTGGCCAGACGGGTTGGTATAGGGTTTGTGTCAAGTTTTCCTTCTCTCTGCAGTGCTGGTGTACTGCGTATTTCGCTCCCTTAGTCGGCTTTTACGACACCCACGGGATGAATAGGGGTGGTGACACTCTGTATTCTTAATCCGTCACCACCGTCACTAAAGTATTTCGAAAGAATATAATTATTTCCTTGTTTTCCATCAGCGGCAGCTTCCGGTCGGCAGTCACAACGCTTTCCCCGAAGTAAAGTAGCTCCCCTTGCCCCCTCCCTCGCCTCCAACAGTACCGCTCTCCCCCCAGCGGGAGGAGTATCGCTGATGTCGGATCATCTGTGCGGGAGAGAGGCGGGCAGGTCCGGGGTGGCTTGGCCCAGTGCCACGATTCCCGCCAGAGTGAAAAAGCTCAGCTGGGACGATGCAGCCCCTGATGGACAAAACAAGGTACATGGAATTATAACTTTTGAGTGATTAATTACTACAAGTGTTACTACCAGCTAGACTTCAACGTCTGGACTTTTAATAATATGTTGGTCTTAATAACATGTTTATTCCTGTTCAAGAGCCAATACAAGCTATACTTATTCTGGTTCTGGCAAACGTTTAAGAATGTTATGATTATAATAACATTATCAATTTATAAATCATAGTTTATTCACTTATTACTATTATTACCACTAAGTTTTGTTGTGTCTTGTAGCTAACAAGAATTAAAATACCTAGTATAAACAGTAAAAATGATTTCAAACGTAGCTTCCAACCTATTAACCCCTCTAAATACATGTACACAAGGTTTAATTTTCTCTTCTGCGTACTAACTCTTCACCTAGGATTCTTAGCGACCAAATATTCCGTTAAAGCTATAACAGAAGTACCGTTGCAGGGCAGTGGGGGGGAGGTGACCGACGCGACCAATCCCTCAGTCGCGGACCACATGAATCTCACCGTCTACTTCTGACCGACCGCGACAACGAATGTGCTGCACTACAACATGCACAGGAACAGACGTATAGAAAAGTATCGCAAGTAGACCGCAAAGAAAAGTTTCAAGAAGGGGCCGCAGGAATAGAACGATCTCCAGAAGATTGCAAGTCAAAAATTTCAGGTCAAAGCAAGCAAGATTTTGCAAGACCTATAAATTGTGATGAACAGAATTATATTAATATTTCAGGACATTTGAACTCACCTGAAGGTTTCCCCAAAACTGTTGCATTAGCTCAAAATACTGAGAAGTTCAGAAGGGCTCTTAATATTCCAAATACTTATTCGATAAGGTCTTCAGGACAGAGAAAAAGAGCTTCATTTAAATCGGTATCACCAGTAAACACTCATGAGTCAAACGCCTTACCAGCCTCGACCTCAGATTCTGCACTAAACACTGTTGGCATTCCCGCCTACAACAACCATTTATTATTTGATGGAAACATGTCTGCAAGTTCAACTTCGCCTTCCAATTGTCCTACCATGGTCGTAGACCATCATCAGGATCATCCGAAGTTTAAAGACGTCGCTCAATACATACATAGCACTATACCATCTTCTAAACCCAACAAATCATCAACCAAGCATTTAAAACCTCCTAAAAATAAACTCAAAAACATTCTGACCACACCCACGAACCATTCCATCAGGATCAATCGAGCTTCTTCGAACTACGCAATACCAATTCCAAACCAAAATGCTCTAGGGACGAGTCCAACTATCGCAGTTGCCTCTTCAGCCCCCATAATGTACGAAAGCCCGGATTTCTCTGACTCCTTGCCGGGGTCTCCCCTCTCGTACGCTACGGTTGATCCCCGGAAATTGCGCACAAAGCACATCAAACCTTTAACCTTCGGGTTGGCTAGTCCCCGATATCAACCACTATAAGTATGTTCAATAAAGTTAATCATTTTTTATTCCGTTTTATTCGTCATCTTTGAAATTTTATTTTTTTTCAATTTAATAAAAATAGAGAATAGTTTAGAATTAAGGGGTTGGGGTTAATGGATGGTTTTTTATGCTAATTATTTTGTGTAAATATGGCAACACCGTAAGTTGATTACATAACTCCTCAAAGTAGTGAGGTAATCAAACACGGATTTTAAATAATTTGGTTTGGGTTTTGATTAATTTTGTATGCTTTTCATAACGTAACGATTTTATGCAATAGTTATTTAATGGTTTTATGCAACGAATCTCGTCTTCCCTTTTTATAAGCTTTTTATAATAATTTAGCACATGCCGTGAGTAATAAGTCAGGTTGTTGAAAGAATGCGTTTAATCAAAATCTGAGAGGCTGCGGTAAGGCTTTTGCAATTCACCAAAAAGTATATGTAGCATATATTATGTAGTTTAATTATCTTGTACAGCTTACATATAGTTAATGTATAATTGTAAACTATGTAAATTGTAGGTGTTGAAACTATATCGATAGATTTTATCTTAATTAAGTATAAATCTATGAAAGTGACACGATTTAGTGATTAATGTCAATAGTACCCACAGAAAGACTAATTAAATTTGAAAGTTAACCTAAAAACTAACCTAAAAAGATTCTTTAAAATAATACATAATTGTAAATAAATAAAGAAATAGTTGACAGAAACAAAAAATAAAAATTATGAAATTAAATGATCTTATTGGCAACACTGGTGTCGATGTGTGGTGTCACACACAATTATACATTTTTATATAAATATTTATTAGGCATATATTTGTACGAACTGTTAATATAATGTTTTGTTTAATTCGTTGTTTTAATTTCCCCGAACAATTTAAGATAATGTGAAGATTTATGTAAAGTTACTTACGTAACTTTCTCATAACATAGGTTGCAAAAGAGGTCAAGGTCCGCCCCATCAACAGCCTTTAATAGTCCACTGCTGGACATGGGCCTCTCCTTAGAAAGGAGGTAATGGCCTACTACTCGTATACCACGCTGGCCAGATGGATTGATATAGGGTTTGTGTCAAGTTTCCTTCTCGTTGCAGTGCTGGTGTTCTGCGTAGTTTGCCCCCTTAGTCGGGTCTTAAGACACCCACGGGATGAATAGGGGTGATAACACTCCGTATTCTTAATCCATCACCATAAGGAGACGTCGGACGCCAGATTTAGAAAAGGGTGTTCACCTATCACATTTAGACAATACTAATAGTCACATTTTATTCAAGATGTTTCCTATATTACTTATGTTACTTTAACAATAGGATAACTCAGACTCTCTTGCGGGGTTCCACACTCTTAACGAGAGACTTTTATAGATTTACCATGTCCATCAGTTTATTCGCCAGTGGATGGCTCAGCTTAGCTAAAGGCTATCAGTACTAAAAAGTATTTTTTATGGGATATAAAATTAAATCGTGAAAAACAATATTTTTGGACTTAAAAAGGTTTTTTTTGTCTATCACCAAGTTGTGGGGTATCGTGGAATAAGTTTTCCAAGACCATTGATTTGGATTGAAGACTATTTTTAGATTTAGTAACGCGTTTGTGAAAGTTTTCGTTACGGCCAAGTAGGTACACTCCTGAACTCTTATCCAGAAGCTAAACTGATGAGTTGAATAATGTAGAGAAAATCAGGATTGTGGTATATGCAACTGATTTAGAAGGATAAGTATTAGAATAAAATGTCTGACTTGAAAATGGATGGGAAGAAGCGACGGAACTCTAAGCTGCACGAGACCCGTGCCCAATAGTCCTTTTATTTTAATATCGTCACTGATCTTGAACCACACAGTGTCACTTGCATGTCTGAAATGATTACATATTAGAGACATAGTGAGTTATTTATTTACCTATTTATTTAAGTTAAGCTGAGGGCATAAACCCTTTTTTTTTTTTTTTTAACGTGTGGAAATCCGATCGGACCGTCACCCCTCCGGGGTTTGCGGCGGGGTGGTGTGTCGGACTCGGACCGACTAAAACCACACGGTGTGCCACTCTGCGCCTGTAACAGGAGGGATCCGGGAACAGCTGTTGTTAAGACATCCGGGAGGGCATAAACCCTATACCAACCCGTCTGGCTAGCGTGGTATAGTAGGCCAAAACCACCTTTCTAAGGTTCTCCTTAGAAAGGTGGTTTATGTGGCCTATGTCCAGCAGTGGACTGTTAAAGGCTGTTGATGATGATGATGAAGACACAAAGTATAAGAAGAAATAATTAATGAAAGGTGTAAGCTAACTGACTGCTGAGTTAACGTCGCCCATAGAAAAAACTAATCAAACATTATATGTACCTATAATGGGGAATATTGAAAATTGAAAAATATTGAATATTGGCACATCTCACATGGACGGGCCTGAAGAGATCGTGGGTTCGATTCCCATTCAGGACAAATAATTGTGTGATAGACACGATCATTTGAATTTAACAAACATAAAAAAACCAGCCGAATTAAGAACCTTCTTTTAGAAGTCCGATAAAACAGGTAAAAGCATACCTTACTATAAGAATCCGCATAAATGCTACTATAACACTTTCGTTTTACGGAGAAATCTCTGATAAAATACAGGAAATACTGCTGCGTATTTTTGTTGATCCGAGTTTGACGCGACCTTGCAACGAAAGTGTGTCTTACACAACACGCGAGCATACGCAACGCGGACTATTGAGATGCGCGGGAGCAAGGCGCTGTGCGCTATGATGCAACGTGTTATGTTATTGTTGCTGGTTAATGACGGAACAGCAGTAGGTACAATAGGACAGTAGTGTCGACGTGTGATAAGTGTTAATGGGTTTAAATTGTTTAACAGCAGATGAATAAAAATATAGCTATTGTTGTTTGAATGGATCCGAAGCACGGCCCTACAGCGTGGAAAGGTTTAAGGATATCTATGGCAGAAATATCATCTGGCGGAAGTATCATTTCTCGGAAATTGGCTTAAATTTCTAGTTTGTAGTAAGCGTGGTAGTAAGTAATCAGATAAAAGGCCTGTCTTGGTTTTTTTGAACTTGTTTATGGAAAGCTTATACTTTGTAAGACAAGCGATATTTTTTTTGAAGTAGATTTAGTTTGTAGTTTAAAATGCAAAATCGCTTTATGCCGTAGATAATTTAAATCAAAATGATATTAATAAAATCTGTCGTTGGTGTCATTTAAAGTTGATTTCTTATCTTTTTTGGAGTGGTTTAACACGCATAAATTATGTGTATGAATTTTAATAATACTCGTATGTATATATTTTCTTAATCATACAAATAAATTAAATTAAATTGTATGTTTGTAAATCACAATGATAGCTTTGGTTAAATGTATGTACGAGTATGTATGTAATGTTTAATATGAGTAACACATAAAAAAAACACATTTAAATTTTTCTCTGTCCGTTTATTCTAACTAATGTCCGGATTTGGTTAGGCGATTTCAACAGAACTTTCAACAGAAAAATACTTTGTTTTGTGTTTTTTTATGAAATAGGGGGCAAACGAGCAGACGGGTCACCTGATGGAAAGCGATTACCGCAGCCCATGAACGCCTGCAACTCAGGAGTCACAAGCACGTTACCAGCCTGCCTTTGAGAATGGAGTACGCTCTAACTCAGCTGCAGCGTAAGTGTGAAGTCTCGGCGGGCACAGTTTATGGATATGTAATAAATTTTCCAAATAAATATATAAATAGTAATCCTACCGATGATAATAATGAATCAGTCATAGGTTTAGTAACCTTTAAATTTTCACTTACTCACTTACTACTACAATACGAAACTTCGAACCCTCAGACAATTCAAAGGAACATCTGTAATTCCCATTGATCACGTTAAATCCTGAACTAATAGGTACAGGTTTAATCTGTTTGTTTGTTAATGTTCATGAATAAATTTATACGCTGATCAATTATCTAATAACAAGGTCAAAATAGATTTGCTGTCTGCTACTATAATAATAATAAATATTTATTTCAGACATATACAGTCCATAGGTTGTTTAGTAATGGGTTAGAAATAGAATGTACTTAACGTCTATATTAGTATTGTTAGTAACGACACTTAATAGTAGAAAGGCATTCAACTATGCTTTCCTGTTGCTATTGCCACCCAGTGCCTTTGTATAGGACAGTCTGGCCTACTAGCAATCATCTTCAGGATCTATCTGCAACATAATATGATATAAGTTCCACTACGGCTTCACCCCAATTCATCCCGTGGGTGTCGTAAGAGCCGACTAAGGGAGCAAACTAAGCAGGACAACAGCACTGCAAAGAGAAGGAAAACTTGAAACAAACCCTATACCAACCCGTCTGGCTAGCGTGGTATAGTAGGCCAAAACCTCTTTTCTAAGGAGAGGCCTATGTCCAGCAGTGGACTAGTATAGGCTGTTGATGTGATGATGTTGATGTGACGGCTTCAAAGAAACCAGGTACTAAGCAATTCTTTTGTTGAAGTATAGTGATCAGGTAGACCGTGGGAGATTTAGCCGTAGAGGGTATTATTATTGTTTATGAAACTCCTGAAAGCTCGACAAATTGACGTATACAAATGAATATCCATAGAAACTCAGAAAATAACTATGAATTTAAAAAAATGGTTTGGAATTAATAAATTTCCTTATCGACCTATAAATACTTATAAGATGATGTAGCAATGAGCGATTAGGTCCCTCTACCTACTTTCGAGTATAATCACTTCCTCAGAACCTAATAAAAGTATTTAAAATCTGTAACCTTCACACGAAATATACATTAGATCCCCTCCTCAGCCTCCACGTGGGAATACCACTCTCGGGCAAATTTCACCCGCGCCGCGGTAGCGCCCATACTCACGGAGCCCACCTCGGTGCAGACAGTCGCCGTACGAAACTCTCTCGAACAATACTTAGTAGTGGTAAAAGTGATAAAACATACCTACAGACGTTATTCACTGGAGTGATCGCGCTATCGCTACACAACGTGTATGAGGAGACAAGGTACGTACCACTTTCCAATTATATTAATCGATATTTCGCGATTGTTTATACATACATATATTTCTGTTTATGAAAGAAAGTTAATTCTATCTGTGATGTGACGAGAAATAGAAAATTGTTGGATTACGTTTCATGTAGTGAGGACTTTTTATTTGTTTATGTTACGATTTTTTACCCTTACGCATCAAAAATATTGACCCGTGTTTACGGGTGAATAATAGTGTTAAGTACAAACGAGTAAAGAAAATTCAGGAACTCATATACATATTACGTATAAATAAAACACAATGAACATATGAGTTATCAGAACCAAGTTACATGTTTTTTTACATAAATATAAAAATCTTTCTGTTCTTCATAATTAGTGTTCAAACTAATGAATTTATCATTATTAAATTTTGAGATCGTTAAACCCTTTATATATTTAAATTCGAATCATGTTCATTCGTGTGTCTGTTACAAAAAAAACAGAATGTTGAGTTATTAAATATGATATTTTTTAACTGATCCCTTTTTCGAATTTTAATACTTTTATTGACATGCGTTTTCTGCTCGAACTATCTCTAAATTTTGAACTAAGTATACAAACTTGTATTCACCAATGCTTGAATAAATAAAATAGATTCATAAGTTAATAACTACATATTTAAGACTAAAGAAACATTGATAGGGCCTTTATTTATCGGCAACCATCTATTAAATTATAGGTCATACATTATACTTTAATTAGATTATTATCGGTAGCGAATGGATTACAATCGATTTGAGGAACTAACATTCATTATACAATTCGTAAAAAACAGAAGTGGAACTATTACAATACGGATGGAAAATCCCAAAACAACATATATGCGTGTACATTAATATCGTTATAAATCCTTGTTTACTTGGTTCCGCTTTCACCGGCGGCGGAGGCGCGCCGGCTCCACGGTTACGCAACCGCGCCGTGAACCTTCGCGGTGACCCCACACGTAATCTGCTCCGCATCATGACTCACTTTGTTTGGAAATTCCACACAAATCTAGGTGGTAGGTAAAGGATGAGGGATATGTCATAACTTGTAGTGAAAGCTTGAGATCCGGCACGAAATATGTATTGCGGAAAGTGTAGATTATATCAAACGTCTTATGTATTCACTACGGCACTAAAGGATTAGTGGGGTTTTAGTGCATAAAGCATTACGAGGGTGGTCTGAAAGGTTTCCGATCTCCACACGAAGATGGCAGCACTCGTGAATAAAAGCTAGTGAATTTCGTTGTTAGGGACGTCCAAAACCTCATATGTAAAGGGTAGTGACGTATTTCGGTGTAGTGCAGGAGCAAGCTGTTGTACTGTATTACACCTTCGTGCATTTATAAGGTACCTATTGACTTCTAAGTAGGTTCTGTTTTTTATCAGTTTATAACTATTTTCTAATACCAGCCGCAAATTTCCGCCATCGTTCCACACGGCAAAATTTTCATCCTCATTACCTGGATAGTTGATGCTCCACTACTGTGCGCTTTTCGAGACACTCTTTGTCCCGCACAATTAATCTGTGGAACGGGTTATCGTCTGCGGTATTTCCGGACCGATAGGAGATTCAAACCTTCAAGAAAAGAGCGTACTCTCTCCTAAAAGGCCGGCAACGCGTTTGTGACTCCAAGTTGCAGACGTTCATCGGCGGCGATGGTTACTTTCCATCAAGCGACCCGTCTGCTCGTCTGCCCCCTTTAACATAAAAAAAAGAAAGATATCATTCTTTAACTTTGCTCAAAGATTTATATTTGTATATGTATTTCTTCGTGACAGACTGTTTTAATGTACACATTCATGTGAATTAAAAATGTAAGACAACAATTTCTTAAACCTTAGTGTATTTTATATAGGATGTTTTGACTTTTGATATTGAAATTGTTTCCAATTTTTTGAGTAGAAACCATGAATTTATTTTCATCATTTCAGATGAGACTTCTAAGCACAGCTGTTGTGCTGCTATTATTTGCTGTCAACGTCAATCCAGACGACAGCAGCGAGACGACAAATGGTACATGCAGTCTGGACGAAACTACATGCGCATTGGACGATGAAGCTGGACCTTGGACCGGCCTGCTGAGGGAATGGGCTCTGACTGCCACTGAAAATAGTAGACACGGTAAGTCAATTGATTATTTTCAAATACAAATGAGACATTTATTCATTTAGTTCGCTGTTTAAACACTTTTTGTAAATTAAAGTGAAAAATGGCGAATCCAGCAGAATCTGATGGAATAGAGTAGAATAGCTCATCAGAACCGAATGTTTGATGTTAACTCCGGCTCTTATGAATGTTCTAATAAGACAGCGCATGACAACATTATATGCAAGCTAGCTTTCCTTTTGTAAAGTAGGGTCGTTTGCGTAACATGCTCTTCTGCCTAAGCCCTACCAAAATCGCTGATACCCTCGAATTAACGGTGAGTTTAGCTGGTCGCTCTTTCTAGATAACAGCTCTCGCTTGCTTAGTAAGTACATTATTCAATCGCCTACTAATTATTCTGTCACCTCATCTCGAACGGCTGTCTTCACTGAGTAATAGCGATTACCCTACATTCACTTAACAACAATATTTTGTTTTAGGTCGTATTATGGCTGTACCTCAGTCAAAGGGATATTATGTATCTGACCGCATTGACCTGGCACCGCCGCCGCCACCACAGTCATATCATCATTCCCATTCACATCCCGTCCCGTCCCACCACAACATGCGCCCAGTAACACCCCCAGGAGGCAGACCATATGACGAGTGGCAACAGACTCCACCACCTACGCCAGGAGCTGGGAAAATTGTGAATAGACCACAGAATCCGTACAAGGATAAGTTCAAACCGAGTCCAAGTTATGTAAGTGATAACTTACTGAGTCATTTTTACTTAAGAATGCATTTTAAAGGATTTTAAATTATACGATTATATTCAAGAAAAATTAAGAGATTAGGTTTGCACACGAACAAAAGACCGCCCAAAATTTTCCTGTCAAATAAAATAATTCTCATATATAAGTGACAGAGGGGTAAGTGATGTTCTGTAAGATTTGTGGTGTGGCAAATTAGCAAGTTAAACTCAGTTTATATATCATGTCATGATAATCAATAGCCCTTAACAGTCCACTGCTGGACATAGGCCTCTCCTTATAATTGAGGTTTTGGCCTACTATACCAAGCTGGCCAGACGGGTTGGTAAAGGGTTTTGCTTCAGGTTTTCCTTCTTTTTGCAGTGCTGTTGTTTTGCACAATTTGCTCCCTTAGTCGGCTCTTACGACACCCACGGGATGAATAGGGGTGGTGACACTCTGTATTCTTAATCCGTCACCACACAAACTCAGTTTATCAATTTTAAATCATAACGCTCGAACTTTGATTTCCAGGCAACCACCACTGTTTTATAAACCTATTATAGCAATGTAGGCACTCTCAAGTTTACATCTCTGAATATTTGTGAAACGCCACCTTAAAAATCCTCTCTTACAAAGCGAAACTCTTGGCTGTTTCAGTAATTTAGTATTAATTTTTAGTAATTTTAAAAAAGTTTAAATGAAAACTTGAATTGTATTAATTTATACTTGCAATTAAGATCAAGTGGCATGATCTATTAATTTATTATGTCCTATGAAAATAATTTTATACTTAAATAAATATTAATTTAGGCTATGTAGTACCGCGGTCACATACTTTTGCGAAGACGTCATCTTGCAGAAGGAGGCGGCGGTGAGGGCTCGGGAGGACAACCTCCACTCGGACCCAATCCGTCGCCGGCGAACCGGGCGGCGGAGGCGCGCTTACCACCGCCTCATGCCGCCCTGAGTGTGGCCGCGGGTAGCGGGACGGGTTTTCCCCTCCACCCGCCATAACGGCCAGCCGTGAGGAGGCTACGTCCGCGTGTGCCGGACGTTGCCTAAATAGAGAATGTACCCGAAGGTGGTGCCCGCGCCGTTGCGGGCAGGCGCTAGAAGGGGTCCGTATGTCTTAATAACTGCAGTTCCCGGATCCCTCCTATCACAGGGCAGATTGGCACACCGTGTGGTTTTAGTCGGTTCGATTCCGGATTCCGACACACCACCCCGCCGCAAACCCCGGTGGGGTGACCGCCCGACGGAGTTTCCACAGGTAAAAAAAGGCTATGTAGCCATGTATATTTGGCAGCAGCATTGAACTTATGTGCGCCTCAAAACCACCTTTAGTTTTCTATTCCGTATATCTGGTACTCTAAACGCGGTAATAGATTTACAGGTTAACTGTAATCATGTGGTTTTTTTCTCAGAATCCACCATCCAACCAGCCGATCCCAGTACACAACCAACCGCCCCAACAACGTCCACAAACCGTTGACAGAGTAGATGAAAACAAACCCTCACCCCAAAAGCAGGTCTCCGAGACCGACTTGTATCTCTTAAGTGCTATAGAGAAGTTGGTGTACAGGGCCGACCTCATGGAGAAACGGGTGAGGAAGTTGGAAGAGAGTGTTCATTACCTTGTGGCTGGTGTTGATAAGAAACCAGGTAATTGTAAGATTTTATTGTAATTAAGGTCGCTATGGACCACTAGGGTCGCTATTAGTATACCTCAGGTACCTGAGTACATTAAACCATTGTTAAGTTGGCAATCTAAATTGCTTGGTATAGATTTAACTAAAGTTACTAAATATTGAGGTTAGTTAAATCTATACCAAGTTTAATTGTATAGTGCCATAGTCAGTAGTTTGTCTACTTTTAGCTGAGACTGGACAGATTGTGAAGTCATTACTCGAGTAATCAGTATTTACATATTAGTAATTTCAGTGAAAGTTAGTGAGACAGTAAACACTTACTATAAGATCCAGCAAACCAAGTTAATGACCAAAAAGAAATTAAATATTCATTAATCACTTTCACTGCTGACTTAAGAGAAAGTGACAAAGTATTTGAAACGAACAGAGCCTTGTGCCGAGAACTTCACGCGCGTGGGCGGCGGCTGCTACCACGTGTCGGGCGAGGCAGCCAACTGGAAGGGCGCCAACTACGCCTGCCGACGGCTGAAAGCCAACATGCTGGAGCTCAACACTGACGTCGAGAAGAAGCACTTCACTTCTGCCGTGCTCAGCGACAGCAAACTCAAAGGTGAGGATTGCCAAATGATTAAAATTACCGTCTAGATTTTGGTGTGAAACCTTTTACTTACTAATGGCCAGACGGGTGAAGAACCGGTTCCGACAGGTTACACCTGGTCACCTAGATCCCTGCTACTGGTAATCAAGACGGTAGCAGATTCCCGCAGAAAAAAAGGGCGGAATACCGGTATACCCGTAAATGGCATAAAATATATTTACCTGGGTATAAAATCGTTTAATATATCGCGGAATTAAAGGCTAAATTAAACTCTTATTGGCAATTTTAAAGTCGTGATGATGTTATTAATACGACATGAAATATGTACCTACCTGTTATTCGTGGGGGCCGGTTATAGGGGTTTTCATAGTAAATAGCTTAATTGTAAACTCTTCTGGGACTCGGCGAAGGTCATGGTCGGCATTTAATTGTTTGCACTCACTTGTTTATCATGTCAATGGTAGTAAGGTCTTACATTTTGATGTTCTGTTTATAGGTGATGACTTTTGGACCGGTGGCTTGAACCCTGGCTTACTGTTTATATGGTCGCACTCTGCGCGGCCCGTGGTCACCAACAACACAAGTGCCTCCTCCAATAACACACAAATGGCAACCATCGTCGGGGAAGGGAGGTGCCTCGCCTGGGTCTACGACCCCGCAGTCAATACGTACGTGTACAGAGGACAAGACTGCGCTCTCAAACATCGGTACGTGTGTGAATTAGAGGAGGACAAAGCTAAGCTTAGTAATGAGATAGAAAGAGTCGCCAAGATGTTGAGACAAGGGAGGAAGGGTAGAAAACCAAAGATTATATGGACTGACGAAGAGACGAGGTAGTTGAGTGATGACGAACTATTATTTCCAAGGCATATTTAATATTATGTAACTTATTATAGATGTATTTATGTAAGGAACTGATTTAATGTTAAGTTTTATTAGATACATACACTTTACATTAAATGCATAACTTTGTAAATAAATTCTTGTTTTATTTATAGCTAAACAAATATATAATTATGTTATTCTATTATGTAGGTGTTGTGGTCAGATGTTACCTAGGATTTACAACTTTGCATCTGGCCATTTCATGGTGTCATATCGTTGAAGTGACACCATTTGATTATATATTAAACCACGTTCGACCATATAACAATAGGTTTCTGTGATATTAAAGGTATAAATAAAAATTCTAAATAAAAGATACACTTCTTTTTCCATGACATTTCTACATTATTTTAAACTTTTGAAAACAAAAATATAATTGTAAGCCGCCATGAATCATAACACAATCAGTAGGTAGGACCTCACTACTATCCACCGACAAAGGGAACAAACTGCGCAGGACAACAGCACTGCAAAGAGCAGGCAAACTCGAAACAAACCCCATACCAACCCGTCTGGCCAGCGTGGTATAGTACGCCAAAACCTCCTTTCTAAGGAGAAGTTTATGTCTAGCAGTGGACTGTTAAAGGCTGTTGACGTGAGATAGGTCCTCAACAATAGATAATGTAACTAATACAATGACAAATGCACGCAGACGTGTGTGATGTTTTTTACATGTCATAAGGGCTAACAGCCCAGGCGGGTCACCTGCGGGTAAGTGCTTACCGCTACCCAAGGACACTTGCAATAAAAGTCACAAGTGTGTTGATGATGGTATTTCTTGAAGTCAAATATGCACCGACAGGAGTTTAATTTGGATTTACGTACACAATATTTTTCTTGAATGTTGTACAATATAGTATACTGCTGTACATCATCGCCTGATTCGTGCGTGTTTGAATTTTGGTTTGAGGGTACCATTTTTTTTTGGGTGCGGAATATCCCCCAGGTCGAGACCCCACCAGGGTTTGCAGTGGACCGGTGTATCGGAATCGAACCGACTGTTATTACCTAGACTAAAGTAAGTGTGTGTCGGGGAAGGAAGGTAAAATAACACCAAACGTTTTACACTATCTTATATTACTACAATATTTACAAAGTTATAAGAATCACAACAAAATAAGTTACTAGTAAATAAATATTTTATTATATCCTGGAACACATACTGATGCTAAATAAATTGAACGGTCAAAGATGTGAGTAAAAAACGAGTATCGGTACAAGGCCAGTCTTCGTTGGTCGGTTGTTGACAAATCAAATAGTTACTTTAGGTCCCGATATCTTAGGTTTCAGGCAAAACATAATATTCTCATTTACAATGCTGTGTAAATGTGTGATCATATGATGGGAGCGTTTGGTAAGGGCCTTGAGGTGTTTATATGTAATACATAAATACTGATTATACTCAAGAAATGGTTTGATAAATTTATATGTAAATATAGCAAATTTAAAGTAACTATTGTCAATGGCAGAGATCAGTGGCACCTAAAAACTTTTTCTGAAACGCAGGGTACATGCGTTGCCACCCATTGCATTGTTTCCTTCCTTCAGAATTAGGGTAAAGATAGGGTGAGGGTTTGTTGGTTATTTATTTTTCGTTTCGTATTTATGCAGTTAGCAGGTTTAAGGAAGCAAACTACGCAGGACAACAGCACTGCAAAGAGAAGGAAAACTTGACACAAACCCTATACCAACCCGTCTTTAGTCGGCTCTTACGACACCTACGGGATGAATAGGGGTGGTGACATTCCGTATTCTTAATCGGTCACCACACGGACATACCCAATGGGATCCCATAACAATCCTAGCACATGACCACACTTTATATGGTACACACATGTGTACCGTACACATAAAACGCAACTTACATCTCCAGCCATACGTGATGTGTGTTGCCTCTAGGCTCCAAAAGATAAACAAGTCTTTTCGAGGTCAATGTGTCCGATTTTATAATAAAATCGCAAATAATATTCAGGAGTTGAGTATTAACAAATTTAAATCCGCAATAAAACGTGGCTTGTGCCAGAGGGCCTACTACTCGATTGTGGATTACATGGAGGACAAGAATGCTTGGGATTAATTAGCGCAGGCTATTTCTTTCTTAAGTAAAAATGTGGTGTGGCTAGTATGTTTTTTATTATTTTTTCTATTTTTTATGTTTCACTTCATTTTCTCTTGTATTCGTTTGTTCTTCTTAATCTTGTTTTCTCTTCGTTGTTTTTTTCACCTTTAAGTCCTTAATAACGGACATACTAGCACACATCAAAACAATGTTGTGATATATTTAATAGTGCCATTGTATCTACTTGTGAATTGCAAAAGAGTGGCCATGAGTTTGTTTGCCCTTTCTTCTCATAAGGCTCAACCCCTTGGAAACGGGCGGTTGTAGATCGGCACAGGCATATCATAGATTTTGTATGGGTTTGATTTTGTTAAATTTATTTGGTTACTATTTGACAAAACAGAGATTGTTGCTTTTGTGTGTGTTGATCTATGACTTTAGAGTCTACATGGAAGACGATTTCAAACAATTTTGAAAATTTTATGAAATAAAGAAAGTTTGAGTTTGAGTTTGAGTTTGAGTATGTACATTATTATATATACATGTATTATATGGACATATGGCTGTAGGGCAAGGAGCGGACCCCTCAATTGTGTGTACAAAATACTGGTGTACAGTATTTAACTCACGAAGTGTACAATACACAGTTGTGTACACCATGTACACATGTGTCTTCATATATTTAGCTAAATTAATATGAGTTATTCAACACATTGCAGTTTCGATAGCGATAGATAATTAAAAAAATTTTTTTTAAGATTTTCTACTAAATACAATGTTAGTTTAAATATTCAATTTTAGAACTGAACTTGTGTTGCCATGTAAAAAGTCCTTTATAAGGCTTACTATATATAAAAAAGAAGAAATCTGCATTCAATGTCATTTGTGTTAACGCATCACAAACTTTAATTCCATGAAATAATTCATTATGACTTCCATTTAATGCTTAACAATGAACATTTTAAGTTTTGTCAACGCAAATTTCTAGTTATTTTATATATTTAACCTTTTATATTTCATTAGTGTATTTTTTTATAAAAGCAGCAGCAACGACACAGTACAGTTTGAAAACGAAACTTCATACATACAATTTCAAAGCTGGTCACACTAAATAAAGTGTTACAAGCAAAAGACTGCTGCAAATTTTAGTTCAACAAAAAAATAATAAATTAATGTTAATTAAATATTTGTTTCAACATCAAATGCGACGTCGATAAGCTTTTATTGCAGAGCTCTCACACAGGAAATACCAGTTTTTTGTACTTCAGTAATAGATTTTAATAAATTTTAGTAAAAACTCATTTCAAACGATACAATCACCCAACTTTTAAATATGTTGTATGTTATGTAATTACTACTTTTCTTTGTAACATTTGGAGATCATATAAACAGTTTTTTTTTCATTACAATAAAATTTCGTAAGTGGTAATAATTCATACGGATGAACGGTTTTACTCGTGTGTATGAAGTGACAGTGTCAGGTGACAGCACGTTTCGCTCCTTGTTAATGGACCCCAACGGGTCCGTGTCTGTCAGGTATTCTCGTAATACACACACGAGTAAAACCTTTTTATCTTTAACATATATCTTTTATTTTGACAGTGACTAAAATAAATAAAAGAAATTAGTACATTGAAGTACTATTTTTAGTTAGAAGATATGATGTAATCACGTATATTTACGGGAATCAATAAGTATTCCATATTTATGATTTAACCCGACGTTTCGACCAGGTTGTACTGGCCGTAGTCACGGACGGACTGGTCAAAACGTGGGGCAATTTTAGGGTATATATTAAAAATGAATTAACGTGATCTCGTATACATACATAATTATACATGATGGACCGCGTAAATTTATAAGTTATTAGAAGAATCAATAGTTACACGATTAATCGGTACGATACAAAACAAGCTAGCCTCAGAAATTACGAGCACGTTCCTCCATCAGACAATTTATTATAATTATAATGTTAAAAATGTTTACAATACATGTTTATGTGTTCTGTTGTTCTAATAATTAATTCTATTGTCACTTTTACAGTTTTTTATGCGGTTTTGATTACCTTTTACAGTTTTTTTTTTCAATAACTTAGTGGGTTGTACATTACAATTATCTTTCTTTGCCCTCCCAGATCACTTAAATGCGTGTGGGCATTAGGAGTGGGCTTAAATCGGTAAAGTACTACAGCTCGCAACGACTTTAACTTAAATAGATGCTATTTTTCTATTTCTTCATTCCATAAAAGTAATAGTGACAGTAAAATTAGTTTTTTTTTTACATCAAAACGGCTATTCTGTGAGTCAACATTTTCGTGTTGCAATATTCACTTTCCAGTCAATTTTAAACCGAATTAGTTACGAACAAAGAAGTGAATCGAGTTCATATCACAGTCGGTGAGCTGTCTATCGACGAACACTACTAGAAGGGCCACTGCGGACTTTCGGTCACAGTCTTAAAACAAAACCGGTATGGCATTAAGTAAAAAAAATTATATTATTTGTAGCTACGTCCACTGGTCGCGTAGATACACCACCGTGATGACACCGCAATGGACGGGCCGGGGTCCATGTTCACGAGCCTGCCGGGGTGGCTGTACCGGTGGGGGGAAGGTCGAGCGGTCGGACCGGGGAGGCTAGTTGAAGTGGAACTTGAATTGGAAGGGGCTACCGTGCTGGAAGTGGTGGAAGGGGTTGTGGAAGGGACCCCCTTGACCACCCCGCTGCGCCTCGGGGTCCAGGGGGTCGTTGCCGGCGTCGAACTGCGCTCGCTTCTCGGGGTCCGTCAGTACCTGAGCAACACGACAGAGTATCGTACTTATTAAATAAAGCGTCGAACAAAAACTTGAGTAGTAAAAAAAGTAGTCATATTATAACTATTACTTTTCTAAATAAACAAAGTATTCAGAAAAAACAGACAGTACCTCCTTAGCCGCCGCGATGTCGATGAACTTCTTCTCGGCGACCTTTTTCTCGTCCCCTTGGAAGTTGTCAGGGTGCCACTTCTGGGCCGCCTTGCGGTAGGCCTTCGTGATCTCCTGCTTGCTGGCGGACCTGCGCCACACGACACGTTACATACAACAACACAGCTTTGTAACTACTACACTCGCTGCTATAATCTAAGACATTTTTAATTTAACTTATTTCAATTTTTGCTTTTACTCCCGTCATCAACAAAAACATCACTCGAAGTGAATCGAGACAACGCAAGTTCAACGCCCGAAAACCGCTTGTCATGTACTATTATTATTATTATAGCCTCTTTATTTCCATAATGAATAAATTACAAAACAAATATAAAAATATATCCGGAATTAAAAGTGCATGCATGAATTAATACAATATTAAAATTGATACCATGATTATTATATAACAGTAGTATAATTAATAGCGTCATTTTAAATAAGTTTCTAAATAAATAAATTCAGTTTTCATTATTTTAAATAAATTTTATAAATAATAAATGACTTCAATTATTTAGATCAATTTATATTATTCAATTTGGACCCCTCAACGGGTAAAGGCCTCCTCCATTTTGCTCCGCGTCTGTCTGTCCATTGCTTTTGTGAACCAGGTTTCACCAGCTTTTCTAACTATTTCATCAACCCATTTTGCCCTTTTTCTTTTATTTGTTGGTCCATGCCAGGTAGTTAGCCTCAGTGTCATTTTCCTCGTCATGTACTACTAAAATTTAACTGTTTTTCTTTTAGTGTTTTTGAACTATCACTTTTTACTTATTATCAAATCGAACTGTCGATTCAATATTTTAAATACTTTTGATAAAAAAGCAATGAATGACTTCTTCATAATACATTGCGGAGTTTACTTCGAAAGGCTGGTGTAGTGGTTTGTGTGGTGTTGGCGATGGATATCTAACAATCGTTGCTGTCGTACATTGCTAGTGTTGCGGTACACGAACCGTAGCGTTCAACGTTTAGTGATTAGTGACGCCGATTATTTTCAACATATCGATTCTTCGTAAATTAAAGAAAGGTAAATGATATTTAATATTTAAATTCTCGTGTCGCGGTGTTTGTTACCAAACTCCTCCAAAACGGCTGGACCGATTTTTATGAAATTTTGTGTGCATATCGGGTAGGTCCGAGAATCGGCCAACATCTATTTTTCATACACCTAAATGATAAGGGTGCCCCCTAATTTTTTTTTTTTTTTTTAACTTTTTTTTATTTTCTTGTATTTATTTATAATGTATATGGCAAAACAACGTTTAGCGGGTTAGCCAGTTATTTATATACGTCTTTCTATTATAATGAAATTACGTTTTCGATAAAGCATATAACGGGTGTAATGATACATATCACAAAAAATGAAATAACAGATAACAGGGTTCAATTTACGTCGGTTAAACTATGTGGTGCAGAATATGTGGTTTACAGATTCGTTAAAACATAGGTGACACGCTGTATACCTTGTTCAATATATTTTAAGGATAGTTTTGTTGAATAACTTTAAAAAATTACATTATAATTATTCTGGCTCTTTCCTAATGATATATGGGATCAGCGTAAAATATTAGATCGCAAAGCTTTTTGTCTGGCAGAAAATTCAAAGTGTTCAACGATGCCTTAAGTTGCAGGTAACTAGTAAGCTTGTTTCGTATTTTACACCACACTTACCGTTTAACTCCTAATATCTTATAGTAATCCCTCTGTTCTGACTGTTTCTGCAACTTCTGCGCTCGGTTCAGTCCATCCTTGGCCCGCTGCAGACCTTCGTCTATCTCCAGCGCCTCTTTGAACGCCTGGATGGCTGTAATATTGTGAACATAACGTATTTAACATCTTGTGTACAATATTTTCATTTTGTCTGTCGGTCAGAGTTAAGTGAATATTATTGTTTAGTATATGAATAATTAAGGAATGGGGGCATGGTTTGAGAGGCAACGTGTCAGTTAGTAAATGTAATAATGTCGGGTTCAGGTGGAGTGGAGTATCAGCAGATGGTGTGCGAATATCTTCATCTGATTTATATACTCCGTCTAGTTGTAATAAGACGGAGTATATGAATCAGAAGTCTAATTAAAACAGGTCAAGATCGGTCGGACCTGTAATGGATTTTGATCTGTTTTAGTTAGACCTATTTCTAAGTCTTCTATGGAGTTACCGTGCAGGTGTCGGGTCTATCGCGTGATAGATTTGGATAATACTGCGACAGGGACTGCGAACCAGGAGCAGGTATAGAGTACTCTTCGAGACGGCCAGCGCTGCTGTGTTACTTTCTCTATCTTATCCCAACAAGCTTTGGATATTACATTCTCATATCGATCCGTATCCGTACCGTCCGTCGCGCTGCAGCTCCAGGGCGCCGCGTGTGTACGTGGGTGTTAGGTATGCGTGTGTGTCGCTCACCGTCGTCGTACATGTCGAGGCCGAGCAGCGCGTCGGCGCGCTCACACAGCAGGCGCGCGTCGCGCTGCAGCTCCAGGGCGCCGCGTGTGTACGTGGGTGTTAGGTATGCGTGTGTGTCGCTCACCGTCGTCGTACATGTCGAGGCCGAGCAGCGCGTCGGCGCGCTCACACAGCAGGCGCGCGTCGCGCTGCAGCTCCAGGGCGCCGCGTGTGTACGTGGGTGTTAGGTATGCGTGTGTGTCGCTCACCGTCGTCGTACATGTCGAGGCCGAGCAGCGCGTCGGCGCGCTCACACAGCAGGCGCGCGTCGCGCTGCAGCTCCAGGGCGCCGCGTGTGTACGTGGGTGTTAGGTATGCGTGTGTGTCGCTCACCGTCGTCGTACATGTCGAGGCCGAGCAGCGCGTCGGCGCGCTCACACAGCAGGCGCGCGTCGCGCTGCAGCTCCAGGGCGCCGCGTGTGTACGTGGGTGTTAGGTATGCGTGTGTGTCGCTCACCGTCGTCGTACATGTCGAGGCCGAGCAGCGCGTCGGCGCGCTCACACAGCAGGCGCGCGTCGCGCTGCAGCTCCAGGGCGCCGCGTGTGTACGTGGGTGTTAGGTATGCGTGTGTGTCGCTCACCGTCGTCGTACATGTCGAGGCCGAGCAGCGCGTCGGCGCGCTCACACAGCAGGCGCGCGTCGCGCTGCAGCTCCAGGGCGCCGCGTGTGTACGTGGGTGTTAGGTATGCGTGTGTGTCGCTCACCGTCGTCGTACATGTCGAGGCCGAGCAGCGCGTCGGCGCGCTCACACAGCAGGCGCGCGTCGCGCTGCAGCTCCAGGGCGCCGCGTGTGTACGTGGGTGTTAGGTATGCGTGTGTGTCGCTCACCGTCGTCGTACATGTCGAGGCCGAGCAGCGCGTCGGCGCGCTCACACAGCAGGCGCGCGTCGCGCTGCAGCTCCAGGGCGCCGCGTGTGTACGTGGGTGTTAGGTATGCGTGTGTGTCGCTCACCGTCGTCGTACATGTCGAGGCCGAGCAGCGCGTCGGCGCGCTCACACAGCAGGCGCGCGTCGCGCTGCAGCTCCAGGGCGCCGCGTGTGTACGTGGGTGTTAGGTATGCGTGTGTGTCGCTCACCGTCGTCGTACATGTCGAGGCCGAGCAGCGCGTCGGCGCGCTCACACAGCAGGCGCGCGTCGCGCTGCAGCTCCAGGGCGCCGCGTGTGTACGTGGGTGTTAGGTATGCGTGTGTGTCGCTCACCGTCGTCGTACATGTCGAGGCCGAGCAGCGCGTCGGCGCGCTCACACAGCAGGCGCGCGTCGCGCTGCAGCTCCAGGGCGCCGCGTGTGTACGTGGGTGTTAGGTATGCGTGTGTGTCGCTCACCGTCGTCGTACATGTCGAGGCCGAGCAGCGCGTCGGCGCGCTCACACAGCAGGCGCGCGTCGCGCTGCAGCTCCAGGGCGCCGCGTGTGTACGTGGGTGTTAGGTATGCGTGTGTGTCGCTCACCGTCGTCGTACATGTCGAGGCCGAGCAGCGCGTCGGCGCGCTCACACAGCAGGCGCGCGTCGCGCTGCAGCTCCAGGGCGCCGCGTGTGTACGTGGGTGTTAGGTATGCGTGTGTGTCGCTCACCGTCGTCGTACATGTCGAGGCCGAGCAGCGCGTCGGCGCGCTCACACAGCAGGCGCGCGTCGCGCTGCAGCTCCAGGGCGCCGCGTGTGTACGTGGGTGTTAGGTATGCGTGTGTGTCGCTCACCGTCGTCGTACATGTCGAGGCCGAGCAGCGCGTCGGCGCGCTCACACAGCAGGCGCGCGTCGCGCTGCAGCTCCAGGGCGCCGCGTGTGTACGTGGGTGTTAGGTATGCGTGTGTGTCGCTCACCGTCGTCGTACATGTCGAGGCCGAGCAGCGCGTCGGCGCGCTCACACAGCAGGCGCGCGTCGCGCTGCAGCTCCAGGGCGCCGCGTGTGTACGTGGGTGTTAGGTATGCGTGTGTGTCGCTCACCGTCGTCGTACATGTCGAGGCCGAGCAGCGCGTCGGCGCGCTCACACAGCAGGCGCGCGTCGCGCTGCAGCTCCAGGGCGCCGCGTGTGTACGTGGGTGTTAGGTATGCGTGTGTGTCGCTCACCGTCGTCGTACATGTCGAGGCCGAGCAGCGCGTCGGCGCGCTCACACAGCAGGCGCGCGTCGCGCTGCAGCTCCAGGGCGCCGCGTGTGTACGTGGGTGTTAGGTATGCGTGTGTGTCGCTCACCGTCGTCGTACATGTCGAGGCCGAGCAGCGCGTCGGCGCGCTCACACAGCAGGCGCGCGTCGCGCTGCAGCTCCAGGGCGCCGCGTGTGTACGTGGGTGTTAGGTATGCGTGTGTGTCGCTCACCGTCGTCGTACATGTCGAGGCCGAGCAGCGCGTCGGCGCGCTCACACAGCAGGCGCGCGTCGCGCTGCAGCTCCAGGGCGCCGCGTGTGTACGTGGGTGTTAGGTATGCGTGTGTGTCGCTCACCGTCGTCGTACATGTCGAGGCCGAGCAGCGCGTCGGCGCGCTCACACAGCAGGCGCGCGTCGCGCTGCAGCTCCAGGGCGCCGCGTGTGTACGTGGGTGTTAGGTATGCGTGTGTGTCGCTCACCGTCGTCGTACATGTCGAGGCCGAGCAGCGCGTCGGCGCGCTCACACAGCAGGCGCGCGTCGCGCTGCAGCTCCAGGGCGCCGCGTGTGTACGTGGGTGTTAGGTATGCGTGTGTGTCGCTCACCGTCGTCGTACATGTCGAGGCCGAGCAGCGCGTCGGCGCGCTCACACAGCAGGCGCGCGTCGCGCTGCAGCTCCAGGGCGCCGCGTGTGTACGTGGGTGTTAGGTATGCGTGTGTGTCGCTCACCGTCGTCGTACATGTCGAGGCCGAGCAGCGCGTCGGCGCGCTCACACAGCAGGCGCGCGTCGCGCTGCAGCTCCAGGGCGCCGCGTGTGTACGTGGGTGTTAGGTATGCGTGTGTGTCGCTCACCGTCGTCGTACATGTCGAGGCCGAGCAGCGCGTCGGCGCGCTCACACAGCAGGCGCGCGTCGCGCTGCAGCTCCAGGGCGCCGCGTGTGTACGTGGGTGTTAGGTATGCGTGTGTGTCGCTCACCGTCGTCGTACATGTCGAGGCCGAGCAGCGCGTCGGCGCGCTCACACAGCAGGCGCGCGTCGCGCTGCAGCTCCAGGGCGCCGCGTGTGTACGTGGGTGTTAGGTATGCGTGTGTGTCGCTCACCGTCGTCGTACATGTCGAGGCCGAGCAGCGCGTCGGCGCGCTCACACAGCAGGCGCGCGTCGCGCTGCAGCTCCAGGGCGCCGCGTGTGTACGTGGGTGTTAGGTATGCGTGTGTGTCGCTCACCGTCGTCGTACATGTCGAGGCCGAGCAGCGCGTCGGCGCGCTCACACAGCAGGCGCGCGTCGCGCTGCAGCTCCAGGGCGCCGCGTGTGTACGTGGGTGTTAGGTATGCGTGTGTGTCGCTCACCGTCGTCGTACATGTCGAGGCCGAGCAGCGCGTCGGCGCGCTCACACAGCAGGCGCGCGTCGCGCTGCAGCTCCAGGGCGCCGCGTGTGTACGTGGGTGTTAGGTATGCGTGTGTGTCGCTCACCGTCGTCGTACATGTCGAGGCCGAGCAGCGCGTCGGCGCGCTCACACAGCAGGCGCGCGTCGCGCTGCAGCTCCAGGGCGCCGCGTGTGTACGTGGGTGTTAGGTATGCGTGTGTGTCGCTCACCGTCGTCGTACATGTCGAGGCCGAGCAGCGCGTCGGCGCGCTCACACAGCAGGCGCGCGTCGCGCTGCAGCTCCAGGGCGCCGCGTGTGTACGTGGGTGTTAGGTATGCGTGTGTGTCGCTCACCGTCGTCGTACATGTCGAGGCCGAGCAGCGCGTCGGCGCGCTCACACAGCAGGCGCGCGTCGCGCTGCAGCTCCAGGGCGCCGCGTGTGTACGTGGGTGTTAGGTATGCGTGTGTGTCGCTCACCGTCGTCGTACATGTCGAGGCCGAGCAGCGCGTCGGCGCGCTCACACAGCAGGCGCGCGTCGCGCTGCAGCTCCAGGGCGCCGCGTGTGTACGTGGGTGTTAGGTATGCGTGTGTGTCGCTCACCGTCGTCGTACATGTCGAGGCCGAGCAGCGCGTCGGCGCGCTCACACAGCAGGCGCGCGTCGCGCTGCAGCTCCAGGGCGCCGCGTGTGTACGTGGGTGTTAGGTATGCGTGTGTGTCGCTCACCGTCGTCGTACATGTCGAGGCCGAGCAGCGCGTCGGCGCGCTCACACAGCAGGCGCGCGTCGCGCTGCAGCTCCAGGGCGCCGCGTGTGTACGTGGGTGTTAGGTATGCGTGTGTGTCGCTCACCGTCGTCGTACATGTCGAGGCCGAGCAGCGCGTCGGCGCGCTCACACAGCAGGCGCGCGTCGCGCTGCAGCTCCAGGGCGCCGCGTGTGTACGTGGGTGTTAGGTATGCGTGTGTGTCGCTCACCGTCGTCGTACATGTCGAGGCCGAGCAGCGCGTCGGCGCGCTCACACAGCAGGCGCGCGTCGCGCTGCAGCTCCAGGGCGCCGCGTGTGTACGTGGGTGTTAGGTATGCGTGTGTGTCGCTCACCGTCGTCGTACATGTCGAGGCCGAGCAGCGCGTCGGCGCGCTCACACAGCAGGCGCGCGTCGCGCTGCAGCTCCAGGGCGCCGCGTGTGTACGTGGGTGTTAGGTATGCGTGTGTGTCGCTCACCGTCGTCGTACATGTCGAGGCCGAGCAGCGCGTCGGCGCGCTCACACAGCAGGCGCGCGTCGCGCTGCAGCTCCAGGGCGCCGCGTGTGTACGTGGGTGTTAGGTATGCGTGTGTGTCGCTCACCGTCGTCGTACATGTCGAGGCCGAGCAGCGCGTCGGCGCGCTCACACAGCAGGCGCGCGTCGCGCTGCAGCTCCAGGGCGCCGCCGCACGCCGTCAGCGCCTCCGCGAACTGCTCGTCCTGGATAACACCACAGTTTTCTTTGTTACTTTTAAATCGTTCAAATAACATTTTATAATTGGTAAGTCACGGTCGTCTCGGCTTATTAAGAAGCTGCCCGAAGCCGAAATTTCAAACGACGACACGCTCGTACGAATAACCTACTTATAATCAAAAATATGTGGTTTGACTTTTAAATCTCCGAATTTTACGAACGATATCCCACGAAATACAAGGAGTCATGTAATATAATAACTTTCCACATCTCACACACAACCATTAAATTCCAAACTAGGCAAAGCCTATGCTTTTTTTTTATTTCCTTGTGGAAAGCCTCTCGGGTCGTCACCCCACCGGGGTTTACGGCGGCGTGGTGTGTCACCGACTAAAACCACACAGTGGGCCATCCGGGAACTGCTGTTATTAAGACATCCGGACCCCTCCTAGCGCCTGCCCGCAACGGCGCGGGCACCACCTTCGGGAATATTCTCTATTTTAGATTATCCTCCCGGGACCTCTCCGCCACCTCTTTCTGCGAGATAACGTCTTCGCAGAAGGATGCGACCGCGGTAAAACAACTATCACTACCGGCCATGAAGCGTATGACGGCCGGTAGTGAGAGATCTCTCCCGATGACTGCAGTGAGGACCCGACGCTGCGACGCCCAAGCCAGGAAAATTGCCAGTGTGTTGAGCCGAGTCCTCACTGCAATCGCAGTGGTGACAGGCAGGCCTCAGGTCCCTCCTAGCAACCGAGTGCAGGTACTTCCCGAAGCAGCCGTGCCCGGAAAGGGACCTGCGTTAATCGTAAGGAAAGGGCCCCGTGCTGCCGCCCTGCCCATTCAACGATGACCGGCTGGAGCGCCTCCACAGCGGCAATACCAGCACGTGGAGACCAACGAGCCATCGTACTTAGCGTAGTTTTCGGGCAGGGACCGACTGCCGCTAACCGTCCGGAACTCAGTCGTCCGCCGATATACTTTGGCGAACACTTCTGCCTCCAAATCTCACGGGGGAGTTCCGACCAACGCGCACGCTGCCTCCGTCGACACGGTGCGGTAACTACGTATGGCTCTGATCGCCAATACCCTCTGAGGACGCCAAAGGCGTGCTCTATTTTGGCTGGTCAGAGCCGCTGCCCACACCGGTGCGCCGTACAGTGCCATTGACCGGACAACCCCCGTGTATAGCCGTCTCGTTGCGTCGCTAGGTCCACCCAGATTAGGCAAAAGTCGCCAAAGGGCAGACGCAGCGCTGACCAGCTTTGGAGCAAGCTGTCGGAAGTGCTCGTCTAAGAGCCAGGATCAGGCCTAGATACTTTATCTGGGCCTGAACCGGTACGAGGACCGAGTTGACGACGATTGAGTCACCAAGGGGAGGACCACGACGGGGCCCATGAAATAAGAGGGACTCGGAATTGTCCAGCGCCACCCGTAAGCCCAGCGCCTCAATGCGCTCGACCACCAGAGAGACTCCCCTGGTGGCCAGGCGTGCCGCCTCTTGGAAGTTCGCTCCCCGGGCTGTGACCGACGTTTCATCGGCGTAACAAATTACACCCAGCCCGGGGGGAAAATCGGCTCGAAGGGCCCAGTCGTACCCAATGTTGCATAGGAGGGGTCTAAGAACAGACCCCTGCGGAACACCGCACGACATGGGCCGACACTTCAAATTACCATCTCTGTCCTCGTACACGACGGTACGCTCCTCTAAATAATCCGTCACCAGCCGCCTCAGGTACTCTTGCACCCCATGATAGTTGAGGGCTTCCCTGATGCAGTTGAATGGTAGACTATTGAATGCGACGCGCGGAGCTTTTGTTGCACCGCGCGATAAGGGCGAACCCAGGGGTCACGATCGATACCCTCCAGCAAGGCAAAGCCTTCTCTTACATAATGCATCCATATTAAAAACCCTCGATTACATAATAATGTTCTCGTGCAGAGCATGCAGTTAGCACTGAACGTTTGACCTTTTTAAATTAACAATTATTTTTCTGTGGAGCGTTTAATAATAAATCAAACCCTGATTTAATAATGCTAACAAACAATGTAACCTTTTATATAAGAATAACATCTTCATCAACAGCCTATAACAGTCCACTGCTGGACATAGGCCTCTCCTTAGAAAGAATGTTTTGGCCTACTATACCACGCTGGCCAGACGGGTTGGTATAGGGTTTGTTTCAAATTTGCCTTCTCTTTGCAGTGCTGTTGTCCTGCGTAGTTTGCTCCCTTAGTCGTCTCTTACGACACCCACGGGATGAATAGGGGTGGTGACACTCTGTATTCTTAATCCGTCACCACACGAATAACATGGTACCAGAAATTAGATTAATAAGATATAAAATGTGTACCTTAGTGAGACAGGAACACATCCACTTCTTGGCCTCGAAGACGACGAGCGTGACCTCGTCCTCGGCCCGCAGCACCTTGGCGGCGGAGTCCACGCACGCGCCGAACTGCCGCGCCGAGCTCTGCTCCTCGCACTCCAGCAGCAGCTTGTCGATCTTCTTCACCTTCTTGTAGAACGGGAAGCACTTCTTGTGTTCCGGGTCTAGTTTCAAACACTCGCGAATTTCCTGCGATATTGGAAATAATGTCACTAATGGTGACTACCGCCGCCAGGACTCGAGAGACACATGTGTTATTGGGCACCGACAAACTCTCACTAGGATAAGTGAAGATCTGCTTAACACAGATTTTCTGTGAGATCGTGGTATCACTCCAATCGATGGCTAAATACTGTTCGAGAGAATAGCTGAGTATATTTTTTGACTAACGTATATATACCTCTAGCCCTAGGAATAAATGGACGAAAGATATAACAGAATGGACCCCTAGATTCCAAACAAAAAGGAAAAGAGGAAGACAAAGAAAACGTTGGTCTGATGAGATAAAAAAGAACGCGGGTCCACTGTGGCCCAGAATAACTCAAACAAGAGCAGAATGGAAAGAGCTGGAGGAGGCCTTTGTGTCACAAGGACACGCCGACGCCCAATAACTGCGGCATAATAATAACAATAATAATATTGTATTGATATAATTATAATGTTAATTAATTTAATTGCATGTTTACACTGAACTATTTAATAATGAATACGTGGAACTATGTTGGCAATAAAGGCTTAATAATAATATATACCTAAGCTTTTGAACGTCTCGGACCCATAATACCACCCAATGACACCACCAGTAGTGTCAAAGGTATTAATTCAATCCTCATGACACAACCGGTATTGTCAAAGTACCGGTATTTTATATCATGACACCACTGAGTACCTAATAGAAATAAAGACAAATAAAAATAATTATTTAATGAAATAATATTCTACCACATTCACACAACGCGATCTAGTCCCAAACTAATCAGAGCTTGTAATATGGGTACTAGACAACTGATATAAATACATATATACTTTTTTTTTTGTAAATACATACATATTGTACATAGAAACACCCAGACCAAATCAAACAATAAAAGTTCGTACACACAAATGTTTGACTTGAGCGGGAATCGAAGCCGCGACCTTTGGAATAGCAGTCCATTACACAAACCACTACGCCATCCGGTCGTCAAGTCAGCCGAACCTCATTCGGAGGAAAAAAAATGACAGCTATGAAAACAAAATGTATCAATTATATAAAAAACTAGCTGACCCGCGCAACTTCGTCTGCGTCTCTCAAAAGTAATAAATTTTCTCCGTTTTTGAAACATTCTTCATTGGAGCTCCGCTCCTATTGGTCTTAGCGTGATGATATATAGCCTATAGCCTTCCTCGATAAATGAGCTATCTAACACTAAAAGATTTTTTCAAATCGGACCAGTAGTTCCTGAGATAAGCGCGTTCAAACAAACAAACAAACTCTTCAGCTTTATAATATTAGTATAGATTGGTTGAAAGTGCCAGTGGTGTCATTGGGTGGTATCACGGGTCCGTGACGCTATTGAAGAGCGATTGAGACTAAATTCAAAAGATTCAAATACAACTTTACTCTAGTACATAAATTCTTCTATATAACATGTGTGTGTACATACCTTAAGTGAATCACTGACATGTCCGAGCCGGTACAGTAACGTGGCGAGTCGGTAGTACCCGTCTGTGGAGTCTTGCTGTAGTCGGTTCACCGATCTGATGTCCGATACGGCACTAAATAAATCATTCTGAAAAAAAGTTTGAGTATTATTTAAAGTTTGAGTATTATTTAAAGTTTGAGTATTATTTAAAGTTTGAGTATTATTTAAAGTTTGAGTATTATTTAAAGTTTGAGTATTATTTAAAGTTTGAGTATTATTTAGGACCGCCAATGTTTATGCTTATTTTAGTTTGGTACAACTTTTTCGATCTATGAACTATTTATTTAGAGGTTAAATCTGAAACAGCTGTTGGTAGATAGTAGCCGTAGTCGACGGTAGCCATTTCATGCATTTATTTTCAATAAGTTTGATAAAATTTCTAAAGTAAATAAAGTTTCTAGAGTAAACTTTCTCTGTGAGATTTTTTGGACAACTATGGGATATGGTTTTTTGTGAACATGATCGCTGTTTCTAGAAAAAATCTTTTGAGTTTTCAGTTGGAAATGTAGATGAGATTTTAAAGAGCGACCTATGTGAGACTACTGGCCGCATCAATCAGAGTTTATCCAAAAATTTAATACGCAAGGGAATAACCAGCTTCATTACCTCTCGGCAAGATCTAAAGTTCAAAGCACTGAGACATCCAGAGTTTTTGCCACATGATTTAATAAGCAGTAGTTACCAGCGCGATGTAGCACTCGGCCCTGAGCTGGCGCAGGTGCGCGGACCAGGGCGACACGTCGAGGAGGCGCGTGGCCAGCTCCGCGGCGGCGCGGAACTCGCCCCCGCGGTAGTACGCCTCCACCAGCCGCAGCTCCTCCACCAGCTCGTCGATCCGGTGGTACTGGCTCAGCGCCTCCTCGTTGTACGGGTCCGCGTACGTCTGCAACACATCGACACTCACCATATGCACACTAGCTAGGTATATAAAACAAGTAGACTCTTAGCTCTCCAAAGCTGTGGCAATTATTTCTGAACATGCAACTGGACAGTTTTCCAGAAATAACTACGAACAGAATCGTCTCTTTGAGTTAGACAAGTTAGTTGCGTAAATATCTTCAGCCAGTTGCTGTTTATTTATTTATTAAGGCATATTTACAGAATAAACACAAACATTCATATACCTACATAATTATATCAAACTAAGTTCACGTGCTACTCTAATTACAAATATGCACAGCATTCACATATAGTACCATAATAATTATAAAAAATCAAAATAGCAACCTTACCATACAACTAAAACTTAACTAAAAGCTTATGCACTTTACGAGATCAGTAGACTAGATAATACTGTTAATAGTTTTGTACCAAATTTAACAAAATTAACACAATCATAAACCATAAAATCAGATAAAAATTATTATTACTTTATATTACTTTGCATATAAAAGAAAAGAAACTTAAGCTAAATTAAATTAGTGTAATCGATAATTTTGCGCTGAAAATGTTTGAAATGGTCGTGTAAGATATCGAGGCCAAGTCTGTCCAGCATTCTTCTCATATCCTGCAGAGAGTTCAATTTAAAATAGGCCAAGCGATCATTTTAAGATCATCTAGGACTGATACCAGGAGCAACAAATGCCAAATGGTGTTCCTATCTTATTGGCCTCTCTAAATAGAGAACGGACGATTTCGCGACCTCAACCTTGTCAAGTTACTACAATCTTAATCCCGTTTTAAATGTCCGGCTGCGGTATCCCTTATCTAAGCTCCCTCGCCCTGTTCTTTTCGCCTCTGTCCCGCTTAAATAAGATTACATTCTCAAAGAGAGTTATCCTTAGGCAGACGGCCAAGATAAACAAGAGCTTGCATTGTTACACGTTGCGTCGATTCTAAATAGGATTGGGAAAAAAAGATGATGATGGCTTACATCAAGAAGAAGAAGAACTCATCAAAACACCACCCACCGAAGGCCCAATTTTCGCTGTCACTCCAGACGAAGTCAGAGCGTCCATCAAAGCCATGGCAAATAACAAGGCCACTGGGCCCGATGACATACCTGCCGAGCTCTGGAAAAAATTGGGAACTCACGGAGAATCCTTTCTCACCCACCTCTTCAACCGGATTCTCAAAGATGGGATACCAGATGAATGGCGCGACAGCTTTTTAGTGCCATTTTATAAAAATAAGGGTGACATAAGACTATGCGAAAACTATAGAGCCATCAAATTAATATCCCACACCCTTAAATCTGGGAAAGAGTAATTAGCAAACGGCTTCATTTAATCACCAGTGTGACTGAGAATCAGTGTGGCTTTGTCACTGGTAAGTCTACCATCGACGCCATCCACTCAATACGAGTTCTGATGGAGAAGAGAAGGGAGAGTCAGCAAGATCTACATATGGTCTTCATAGATCTAGAAAAGGCCTTCGACCGCGTCCCCAGAGATCTCATCTGGCAGTCTCTGCGAGCTCAAAACGTGCCAGAATGGCTCGTCCAACTGGTGACGGACATGTACAGGGAGGTGAAAACTAAGGTGCGCAGCCCCGCTGGTCTTAGTGACCAATTCGACGTGGAAGTCGGCGTGCATCAAGGGTCAGCTCTTAGCCCCCTACTTTTCAACTTAGTGATGAACCATATCACAGCTGACCTGCAGAAAAAGCCCCCTTGGAACATCTTGTACGCGGATGACATAGCCCTCATTAGTGAAGATGTGGAGGAGTTACAGATCACGCTAGAACAATGGCGCAGTGCTTTGGAAAATGCTGGCCTGAGAGTCAGCAGACAGAAGACTGAGTATATGCACTGTAACTTCTCCAACTCAAAACATGGCACCATACACCTCCAGAACACCCCACTCAATACGGAGATCTTTAAATACCTTGGCTCTATCCTGTCGAGCAACGGCACCATAGAGCTCGACGTCTCCAACCGCGTCAACACTGGCTGGATGAAGTGGAGGGAGCTGACGGGTGTGCTGTGTGACTCTAGAATGCCTGTACCAGTCAAAGGTAAAATCTACAAAACTGCCGTAAGACCAGCCCTAATGTACGGCTCGGAATGCTGGCCGCTCAAGAAGCAGCAAGAACACCAGATGCATGTCGCCGAGATGAAAATGCTCAGATGGTCTGGTGGCGTCACGCGCTCGGACAAAGTGAGGAATGAGCACATCCGCGGCACTTTTAGAGTCAGGCCAATCCCAGAGAAGCTGCTGGAGAGTAGACTGAGGTGGTACGGGCATGTCATGAGGCGGCCAGAAGATCACATGACCAAGAGAGTTCTTGAAATTAAAACCGGACCAAGAGGACGAGGAAGACCCCGTTTAACATGGCAATCAGTCATAAAAAAAGATCTGCAAACGGCCCAAATAGATCCGCAGACGACCCAGGACAGAACGTCCTGGCGAAGATTGATTAGGAGAGCCGACCCCAATTAAAATGGGATAGGGCGAGGATAAAGAAGAAGAAGATGGCTTACATCAATTATGACTTCTTGTACTTCTTGAACTTCTGTATGATTTAGGAATGTGTAACGGGTCACTTTTTTTTTTAAAGACAACTCCCGGATTAGGAATATATCCTGTGTCGCGGGGGACTTTACAAACATACTTGAAACGAACACAAAGGAAACCCAGACTCAGAACAACAATTTGTGGATTACACAAAGTGTCCTCCCCTGTGGGGTTTGAACCCACAACACTCGGCGCAATAGGAAGCTGCGTGGCGACCGCTTAAACCACTACGCCATGCGTGCAGTCTATACATAACATTGTTATTTAACGAGTATCGTTATTTATGTCTATTACCGTAGTACATACAATGAAGGAGGTCATTAAAATTGTAGATAATGACATTTTATTACTATTTTTTTGTTACATAATAAAGCTATTTATGACTTAAACCTATAAAGAATTAATACCATTGACGACAGTGTTTATTAATTTAATATTAGTAAATTTAACTTTTTGTGTTACATGGACTTGACATACAACCGACGTGCGTAATCTTATATTTAAAATTCTCGTGTCACAATGTTAGTTACCATACTCCTCCGAAACGGCTGGACCGATTTTTATGAAATTTTGTGAGCACATCGGGTAGGTATGAGAATCGGCCAACATGTATTTTTCACACCCCTACATGACAAGGGTGACCCACCCCTAAATTACATTATAGACATAATGTATATGGCAAAACAACGTTTGCCGGGTCAGCTGACTAGCACATATATTATTTAAGTGTATAAGCTCGTGTTGGTACAAAACAGGTGATATTTGAACACCTGTCGTGTGGAAAGATATTATACTCGTAGAAAAATTCTACCGATCGTCGAAGAAAAAATACGAATGAATTAGAAATATTTTAAAAACTGATTTAAAAAACCCTCGACTTTTTTTGAGAATATCCTTCAACGAAGTTAGTTTAAATCGTTACCATTCGATGCGTCTTCTCTAAATAAAATTGGGCACTTTTCAGAAAGATCCTGAAACGATACCAATAGTATTTAGGTTGGGTACAATGTGTGAGATTACATAAGCTTATTGCTAGTTTCTAATATATCCGGCCATTTGCCTGGTGCCACCATCTTTGGGAATGAAAACGGTTTAAACGGCGAAGCGGGAAAACCTGATAGTTTTTTTTCATGGTATATGTGGCGACTCCCACATAAACATACTACAGCGCCATCTAATGAAGACACACCGAACTACGGAGTAACTACTAAAATAAGAATTGCTAATCCTGTATCGCGCTATAAAGAATTCCCGCGCCGGTTAGCATGTATACAACTTCCCAACATCAACCGTTGGGCCGCGGCCCGCCAGGCATGATCACCTCGCCTGGTCGGAGGATCCTCCCTTTGTGTTGGAGGGACATGACATCCGTTCCTCCACAGTATACGAGCCGACGGGTCACCTGATGGTAAGTGGCTACCACTGCCCATGGACACTTGATACTCAAGAGTCACAGAATACCTTGGCGCCTTTCGAGTTCCTCCCCTCTTAGAAATAGTAGGAGGAGCGGTTTTGGCTCCGGTAACCTTGGTGAACAGCAACGAATAAATTGTTTAACACCGGTTTTTTCTGAAGCCGTGTTATCACTCTGGTCGAACCGAACCGTTTGTGCTGAAGCATACCATTCTGTAACGTCGTATTTTAAAAGGACAATTCCATTTTATTTATGATTTTTTATCGAATGCGATTTCGTGTATAAATACCTACGGGTAAATCGATTAGTCGATGTCAATAATTGTTTCAATCAACGGATCACACGACGGCGAGGAGGCTTCTTTTTCGAAGAGTGGATACAGTGGACGTTCGGTCCCGATAATCTGGGGAGGACCTCCAGAAATGCATTGGCTCGGATGCTGAGGCGTCACCCGCCTTAGATACTAAATATTACCAGGAATAACCCGAAAGGTTAGACAAAAACCGCATGGCCTCACCATTTCATCGTATTTTATTCTTTTATTTCTCTTTACCAAGCCTTGTACTATAATATTTCAAGGGTGGGAGGCTGTTCTTGCGTTTAATATGCACATATTAAACGCAAGAACATCCTGTGAGGGAAATCCTATCAAACTGCACAGTTTGATAGGATTTCCCTCACAGGATGAAGATACGTTACAATTCACATGGTTAAAACGTGCTCATATGCTTATCCTGTAATTGGAGTGCAGGACCTACATAGTCCAGAATTCTAGGAGAAGACGAACATCCTGTCTACTATGGAATCCTGTCTACTGTGGAATCCTGTCTACTGTGGAATCCTGTCTACTGTGGAATCCTGTCTACTGTGGAATCCTGTCTACTGTGGAATCCTGTCTACTGTGGAATCCTGTCTACTGTGGAATCCTGTCTACTGTGGAATCCTGTCTACTATGGAATCCTGTCTACTATGGAATCCTGTCTACTATGTTGTGAAAACCGAACAGAGCATTTTTCATTGAATACAATCGCTGGCACACATTGACATAATATATATCGTGTTAACTATGTTTTATGATAAGCTGGTAGGTAGGTCTCATACAGATAAGTTTGACGAACACGCGATAATGAGAGCAATATGCCGACAGTTTTTTTTCATTAACCCGATATTTGATAAGGAGCATTATTGTTCCGGTTTTATGTTGCTTGATAGTCATTTTAACATTTATCCATAGTAATATTTAATCTTATGTAATCTAACACATTATACCCACTCTAAATACTAAAAAATATTATAAATATGAGTGTCTGGTCAACCGATGAATGTAATTTGGTATAGAGATAGTCCGAGCTCCGGGAAGGGACGTAGGTGGTTTTTATCCCAGAAATCATCCTTTGAAGGGGTGAAAAGGGGGGTGGAAATTTGTGTGGGGAATCAATAATCGTTGAACCGCAAAAAAATATAAAGGGTTTTCCAATAAGAGGTGTTATTTTAGTATTCAAAGAAAAATGCAATTTTTTAAGATAAATATTCGACTGTTTATTTTATAATAAAGAGGAAGGTATGCCGTTAATAATGGAAGATAACATCAGCCAAATGGCTACCACGACCACGCTTACAGGACCATATCCTTTTAATGAAATTTTGCATAACCAAATCGCAAAGTGGCTGCCCTATGTCCTCGATAGCCTTACGAATTCCATCTTTGAGGTCTTGAATCGACGCTGGGCTGTTGGCGTAGACCTTATCTTTCACGTGGCCCCAAAGGAAGAAGTCGCAAGGTGTTAAATCACAAGATCTCGGTGGCCAATTGTGACCACCTCTTCGAGAGATAACACGGTCAGGAAACTTTTCGCGTAAAAGAGCAATGGTTTCGTTGCTTATGTGGCACGGAGCGCCGTCTTGTTGAAAGTAAACGTTGTCCAGATCAATACCATCCAACTCCGGCCATAAAAATCATTAATCATATCTCGATAGCGCAATCCATTCACCGTAAGTGTTGATCCAACCTCATTTTCGAAAAAGTAAGGTCCAATGACCCCGCCGGACCATAAACCGCACCAAACAGTCAGAATTTTAATAATTTCAATGCGTTGTTGAAGTGTGTATCGTTCCATTTTTAGTAATGGCGTAGTTTCTACTTGTCAAATGTCAAAAAATAAAAGCTTCAAAAGTGACAGCTACCGAAATACCGGGTGATTCAAAATAACACCTCTTATTGGAAAATCCTGTATATTGAAATGTCTTTGTTAAGTAGGATTTAGATGAAATTTGGTATGGACTTTTTACTACGATAACCGACATATACGCGGGTGGAGACCCGGGCAAAAGCTAGTTTAGTTATAAGGTGTTTGAGTTTTTTAAGTGTATGGTGTACCCACAAAAAGAGTAGGTTTGAACAAATAAAGAATGATTTCATTAGCTTTACAATAAATATTTTCACCTGTCCTTGTGTATATAGATATTACTGAGTTTGATATTTTTTTAATGTTGTAGGATATAGCATAAACTCAGAGTTATCTAGATACAATTTGATACAACGGTTGGTACTACCACCAGTTTAACTCGAGCTTACGTGTTATGTCCCTTCAACGCAATGGGAATATCTACAGAAGTGAAGTGGCAGGCCGGCAAGGTTGCTGGCATGGCAGACGAGGAATGAAAAGCAACAAAAGGTCAGATGGACTGCAGAAAACTTGCTTCATATTTAGTGAGTAAACCAAGTTGTAGTTAGTAAAAAATTGGTCTTTAATAAGTCTTTGGTTTTTTTTTTGCGGCATGGCGACCGCTTAAACCACTACGCCATCTGTGCAATAAAACTAAAAAGTTTTTATTTGTTTGTTTGCTTAATTGCGCCACTCACTAGAAGTATTAATACGATACAAAAAAAAAATTAAAAAAATACAACTCCCGTATTAGGACTTTACAAACATACATGAAACGGACACAATCACACGAATCACACAAAGTGTCGTCCCATGTGGGGATCGGACCCACAACACTCAGCGTAGAAGGAAGCGGCGTGGCGCCCGCTTAAACCACTACGCCATCCGTGCAATTTTTTTGGATAAATCCGGCGTTTGGGGATAAAAGATCATTCCTAAATTCTCCATTGCAACACTTATCTGCCCTTGTCCTACAATCAAAATTGCCACATATCTGCAACATAAGCTGGACACGCCCGTGACTGTTATTGTACAAAATATATAAAAAAAAAATATTTTGAAAAGACAACTCCCGCATTAGGAATATATCCTGTGTCGCGGGGGACTTTACAAACATACATGAAACGGAGACAAAGAACACCCAGACTCAGAACAACAATTTGTGGATCACACAGTGTCGTCCCATGTGGGGTTTGAACCCACAACACTCGGCGCAGTAGGAAGCGGCGTGGCGACCGCTTAAACGACTACGCCATCCGTGCAGTCATGTTATTAGTCATGTTATTAGTTCACAAATTGAATTTATTCGCTTGATGCTGTGTTTGATAAGGTTGTGACTTTCCGTCGCAGGCGCAGTCAAGCGAGTTATGACTATGTAAGTATTAATGTCACGGTTATATAAAAAGTTGTTATTGAATTTAAGAAAAATCATGTTTTAAGTTTTTTTAATAAGTTTTTTTTAAGAGAGTATTTCCTCTGGACAAAACTCCGAAAATGACGAAACTGGATAGCGAGCGACCACATGGACCGATTCCTGTATTATGTTATGACCAAGGCAGGATAACCTCGAATTGGGCAATTAACTTTAAGCGAGAGAATTTTATTGAAACTCTAAGAATGCATCGATGGCAGGGGTTTATCATAGATACGTCATCATTCTATGTGAACTTATAATATTGCACACACACACAGTAATACACAATACAGGGTGTATTATAAATATCACCAGTGTACAGAATTATGATAAACATCTAACCAGCATTCAACCAACACAACTGTATACTATCAAGGAACTATTTGGATTTGTTAATTGTTGACTATAGACATTATTAGACATTAATTCAATACAATGTTGTCAATATTAAGTTCAGTGATAATAATATTAAAATGCTACATTTACAAGCTACATAGAAAAAGTTTCAAAGTAGATAATGATAAAATATGTACATTAATTATTACTATTTCAATTAATTCTTGAATGTTTGTTGATACATCCTGAATATGCTTGTTAAAGGGCAATATATTTTTGTTTGTATATCTTCTGACAGTATAATCGTTTTTTCATTCACATCACATCACGTCAACAGCTTTTAATAGTTCACTGCTGGACATAGGCCTCTACTTAGTAAGGAGGTTTTGACCTACTATACGATGATATCCTTCTGTTTTCAGTACTGTTGTCTTTGCTCCCTTAGTCGGCTCTTACAACACCCACGGGATGAATAGGGGTGGTGACACACCCTATTCTTACTCCGTCACCACATGGATATTTCATTAATTTAATTCAATAGTGAACAGAGTTGATATGCATACTATTGCAGAACTATTGCTTACATACACCAATCCTTCCTATAACCTATATCTCTTTCCTATCATGCCCTTCCCTTCTAACCTATGCTTCCTCTTATTATACTCAATCTTCTCATCTACTCTATGATCTGCCTGGTTGGTGGGAAGAGGCTTGGCCTTTGTTACATAAGTGAGACTAAAACTGTGGGCATTAGAGCCACCCGACCAGCACCGCTTAGCTTAAAGCAGTTAGTATTCTTTGTATGGTGTAGTATGCGTATACGATCATTTACTACATCAAATCCAGAGTGCCTTGCATGTGATCAGCGGTACATGGTCTCCTTCCAACGTGTCTGTCGTATTGTTTACTTGGAAGCAAATTTGTCCAATAAGGGGGTGACAAGCCCAGACAATGAGTGATGCAATGATAATGAAAGTTATATATTGCAATTATTAATACAGATAATGGAAAAATCACAAACAGTGATAAGATACTCACCACTTGTAGATAGTCCTCTTTCGCATCAGAATATTGTGCTAACTTCAAGTAAACATTGGCTCGCTGCAACCGAGCAGAAGTAAAGTCTGACTTCATCTCCAACACCTATTTAAGATTAAAAAAAATATATTAAGGTGGTGATCATGGTACCTTTTAATCTATTACACTTCATAACATGTATATGGAAATTAATTGTCTAAATATTATGTTTGCATTGCCATCTGACTGAAAACATGTCAAAACATGGGGCAATGATTACCTTCATCAATCATCAACAGCCTTCAATAGTCCACTGCTGGACAGGCCTCTCCGTAGAAAGGAGGTTTTGGCCTACTATACCGCACTGGCCAGAAGGGTTGGTATAGAGTTTGTTTCAGGTTTTCCTTCTTTTTGTAGTGCTGTTGTCCTACATAGTTTGCTCTCTTGGTCAGCTCTTACGACACCCACGGGATGAATAGGGGTGGTGATATTCCGTATTATTAATCCGTCACCACATGGACAGATTACCTTCACTACACATTATTACCTTAATTCTAGCATACATAATAAATACATTATCATTCTTCATGTTTAATCTTAATGCTACAGATTTGTTTAAAGAAACTCAAAAAATATATCTATTGTCTATTATACTTACTAACTTTAGACTTGCTTGTACTACTTATAAGATCTATGGTTTCCAGTCATAAATTAATTTAAAAAAAAGAAAGTTGTATTCTTATTAATTAGACCAGAAAAATGTTTAAGCATATTCTTCATGTGTGAAATGAGATTAGAACATTGATGGAAATGTAATAGGATAATTGAGCAGAGGGGGGGTATGAGATATGGATTATAATAATACATAAAATAATTTGTACCTTTGTGAAGTCTTGCAGTGCAAACTTGGCTTTACCAAGTGCATAGTACACTGTCCCTCTCTTGAAGTATGTGAGGTAGTTGTGTGGGTCTCCCTCTGTAGACAATGTTCACCGTTTAGTGACGAATAGATCAGTTTCATTATTTGCAAAAATGTTATTTATAAAGTAAACTTTTTTTGTTTTTGGTGACATTGACATTTATTACCATACAACTTTTTTGTATTGATGGTTTACACAAGAACCATTTGTGTAAATATTGACATTTCAGTTTAGTAATAGATAATTTTATTCTTTCTGCTGTTTTGTATAAATCTATAGAATGACGTTTATAATTATTTACGATAATGATCTGCTTAAAGAATTAATATAGTACGACAATTTGTACATTTGTAGAGGAACTGTATTAAATAAATATTTTAATAATATATGATTCGCATTGTAAGTTTATAAGGTCACCTAAAACATATTTATGTGAGTAATACATGGTAATATAAGAAGACGCAGCGAGTACATACCAACGGCTGCATGATAGTGTGTGAGGGCATCTGAGAGCTGCCCCCTCGCCAGGAAGTCTCGGCCCAGGTCCAAGTGCTTATTCACCTCCACCGGCGTTGCACACTCTGAAACTATACACCGACAAATCAAAACACATACTTTCACACATAAACTATAGTAAATATAGGTTACAATAAAAATAAATACACACATTCTAACATTACTTCTAACACTAATAAGACAAGGCATGGCGTGATTTTGTTCCAGTTGATATTCACTAAGTAGTCCATTATTAATCTATAATTTTTATACAGCAGTCTTTACGATTAATTCACAACAATTCAATTTCCATACAAAATAATTATTTGACAGAGCCACAATCCATCTTTCGTTCGTCTCTTTTCGTGGTTTTTTCTGATTGGTCCAAATCAGACAACGAGCTTAGACAAGTAATGACAGTCATTGCCATTATGTAGACAGGTAAATGTTAATTACAACGTAAATGAAAATCGTTTGTTTTCTTCTTTCTTTTAAAGATTATTAATTAATTTTTATCTTAACATGTTTATATTATGAGTTTCTTAAGATATTACTTCAATACTAATTGACGTTTCTGAACGTCAATCGTAAGGAATACCATCTCTGTTTTTAAACGACAGTAATGGTAAAATCAGTGTGGCAATCTTCACATAATGTACTATTTCAAGAGAAAATAAATGGAATTGAAATTAGTTGAGAGTACATTAACATTATAAAATTTCAATACATTATATTTTGCTGAGTTAATAATATGTCATTAAAAAGCTAGCACTAAATAGTATATTTTTTATTTGATTATACCAAATCATAAATTTTATTGTTTTCAAATCGTAGATTTCTTAAATTAGGTGCTGGTAGCACCGTCACCCGTTCTTTCATTTCCCTAAGAAAATAACAAACGGTTGGTGTGCTAATTTTTGTAATATTTTTCTATAACTTTAAATATAATTTTAGAAATAAGATTAAATTTTGAAAAAAGTATTATGGCTCTATCGACTGATGTGTGTAAAAAAGTTAGATTTATTTTAATTACTGGGATATAACTCGATTACTATCGAATGTCAACATAACCTTTTTAACATCCAAGTTGTGGTTGTGCCTCGTTCAGTAACTTAAGTGGTGTTTTTAGGAATGGCTGACACAGCGCCGTCATCTGCGCCTAAGGCGAAGGCGCCTAAAACGAAGGCACCTAAAGAGAAGGTCGCTAAGGCTGCTCCAGCGGCGCCTGCCGAACCCGCAAAAGCTATTCGCAAAGTGTCGTCTAAGCCCCGTCACGGCAGGTTGTACGCTAAGGCCGTATTCACAGGATACAAACGTGGTTTACGCAACCAGCATGAAAACACGGCACTTCTAAAGGTAAGCAAAGGCTTAAACTTTTAAGAAGTAAGTTAACAGTAACGGTGAAAACCATGAGGACTATCTAAATTCAAATAACTATTAAGTTTACCTTTTTGTGGTAAATCAAAAGTACTATATTAAGTTAAACACGGTTTTCTGGAGTTATTTCGAAATTTTGTTGTATCTTCAGCAATTGGATTGTAGGATACTAAAAGTACCAATTATCATGTATCTCAATTTACAACCTTACATTACTTAATCACTGTCACTAGCACATACATACTACATAGCTACTTAAAAAAAAAGTAATTTTCTTTTGTAATATTTTTCACCATTCACTCTTTCAGATCTTATTAACATTTAAAAAGTAGCTTGGAAACATCAATTAAACTTTAAGTGTAAGGGAACTCCTCTCGGTTTCAGGGCATACACTGAACTTTGAAATTATAGGTTTTTATAGGATTAAGTTTATAGGCTAACCACTAAAAACAATAATAATAATAACTAGACACATTTCACACATGTGACGAAGCTTGTGTGATGTTAAACACACTACATACTATAATAATATATTTTTAAATGCCTACCCATAATAGCTGAAATACACCAACACATAAATGATAATTCTCATGTCACTTTTATTTGTACTGGGTATGGAGGGTAGACACAAGGAGGAACCATCTTTGTGTATGAAGTGTCAATACAATCATGTCCAAGAAGGGGCTACCCTTCGGTTGCCTAGGATAAATTTATATTGGCTTAAATGTTAATTAGACCCTGTGTACTAGACTGCGTAAATAGTCAATGAGTTTTACAGACAATAAATAAACATGTAATAACTTTCAGACAATAAAAGGATTATAATATTTTAACACTGCACACTTCACTCCATCTACAATATGTATGTTCAAACTGTAGTTTTTTTATTCGCCAGCAACTTCTATTTTCAGTATACAGCTGGACACTTTCATAACTTTCCCTCCATATTAAATGGTTCTCTTTGCCTCTACAGTCCATATTAGTGGGTAAGGATTTGAACCAACAACCTGTGGTTTAGTAGTCAAGATTATTTTTTTATTTATTTATTTTTACACTTCCTGCATTACAGTTTGCACGAGGCGGACTTAATGCCAAGATTACAAACCACTAAACCAACATGCCAGTCAAATTGTCGACAATTTACTAATTAATTGATTATTTTGATGGGCCTGTGGGTCTAGTTGTTGGTGACCCTGATTGCTAAACCGGACGTTGTGGGTTCAATTCCCACCCAAGACAAATATTTGTGTGATGAGCATGATCATTTGTTCTGTGTCTGGGTGTAATTTATCTATAATATGTATGTATTTAGAAATATATAAGTATGTTTATCAGTAGTCTGGTTACCATAAAACAGGCTCTGCCTAGTTTGGAATCAGGCAGCCATGTCAAAACTAAGTAGGATCTTGCATCCACACAGATACAGAACTATAGTAACTGCTAATGTCTTCTATAACCACCTAGCCTGTAGAAGACAATGTTCTTTTAGGTCCTATGCAACATTCAATTACTCACTAACTCTGTCCATGCTTAAACTTTTATGACTGCAAGGAATTGTCTTGTAATATTTCTCTGTCAACTAGGTATACTAAAATGATGCTTAGACATTTGAAACCTGAACATTTATGTGGACAAACTATTACTGATATTTATAAATTTTCTTTCAATATGAAAATGTTTAATAAAATCATTTCTAATACAATATTACACAAATATTTTACAGATTGAAGGTGCAAAGAGCCGTGATGATGCAATCTTCTATGCAGGCAAGAAATGTGTTTATGTATACCGCGCTAAGAAGAGGACGCCTATTGCTGGCGGTCCTCGCGGTAAGAAGACTAAGCTGCGCGCAATCTGGGGCAAGGTGACCCGTCCCCATGGCAACTCCGGTGGCGTGCGAGCGCGCTTCAGGTCTAACCTCCCTGCGCAGGCTATGGGACACAGGATACGCGTGGTAAGTTGTTATTAGGCAAAAAACTATCCTTTAAAAGAAGTGATACCTTAGATACCCACATGTTTCAAGAAGTATAGTCTTTCCTACTGTATCCTATCATATTTCTAGTTTTCACATTAAGAAGGCGGTATAAGTTTGGTCAAAATGCAGTTCAATTTTTAGATCTCGCAACTGTCATATCCGTGTAGTGACGGATTAAGAATACGGAATGTCACTACCCCAATTCATCCCGTGGGTGTCGTAAGAGTCGACTAAGGGCGCAAAACAACGCAGGACACCAGCTCTGCAAAAAGAAGGAAAACTTGTCACAAACCCTATACCAACCCGTCTGGCCAGCGTGGTATAGTAGGCCAAAACCTCCTTTCTAAGGAGAGGCCTATGTTCAGCAGTGGACTATTACAGGCTGATGATGATGATGACTGTCATAAAAGGTATTTTTGTAGTAAAATAGTAAAGTATTACTAAGACTAGCAGACTATTGATTCAATTTTCGGTCACCATACAATGTAGCTTTGTAACTTACAACAACAACTCTCAATCTCCCAACTGTCATCAAAGCTTGATGACAGTTGGGAGATTGAGAGTTGTTTGGAACTGAATTTTGACCAATCTTTTATTACAAGAATTGCCTTTCAGGTTACAACTCATTGTTAAATATTGAGAACAATCATTTTACTCTTAGGCTATTGAACAGTAATCTTTTGTTCAGTTAATTTTGTATGAGTCTGTACTGCTACTTGTAATAGTATCATAACTTAAAACTTATAAAAGTAAGAATCCACTTATAAAAGTAAGAATGCACTTATATAAGTAAGACTATGTAAATATAATCATTTTCAAATTGTAAATGTGCAAAAAACCTGATTATTAATTCTATACCAATCATAATCCTACAGCACCATCGGGAACATTGCCCTCACCTTAGGATTTAAATAAAAAATGGTGACATTTATTCCACAGTTTCTCCTTCAAATGTGGTGGTTGGTACATGTTATTTTAAAGAGAAATGGAAATGATAGTATTATGTCAAAAGTAAATTTTACCCTGACAGTTTACTAGTCTGTAAACCTTTATAGATTTAATTTTCATATAAAATAAAATTAAAATTAACTGTAGGTATAATCTAAAATTCTAAATGATGGTAAGACATTTGAAACCTGAACTAATTGTTGACAAATTTTGACTGATAGTACTGCGTTAATTCAAAATTTGTTGACAAATAGATATTATGTAAACTAATATGGTTTTTTCCTTGTTTCAGATGTTGTATCCTTCCAGGATCTAAAGACCTTCCTGTTAAGTAATCTAAGTATAAAATAAAAAATTCAAAAAAATAATACTTCATGGTTTTATTTACTATTTCTTTAATAAAAAAGTTTGTCATATTGATGGCTAGACTAATCTGGCCAATGAGAATAATAAAAATACTAAGTCATTACTTTTCGATGTTGTGCAAGCAATACATTGGTTTATCAAAAGTAAAATTATTTACACAATGCATAACAATTTTAACATCCTATACTGAAAATAATTCACATACCGCCATACACGATTTGTACGCCTAGACAACCTTTACTATAGAAAAATGGTGTAGCAGAAACGGTTTCGTTTGAATTATTGAATACAAGGGGTGGCTTTTTATGTATCTGGAATAACAAAGTGATATGTCATTTATTATAGTTATTTGTTCTTCAAAATATTCGCCGTGATGGTCGATGCACTTTTGCATACGTTGGAGCCAATTTTCGTAGCACTTCTATTCTTATTGTGGTATCTCCTAAACGAATTTTGAACGCATCAACAGCCTCTTCACGGCGCGAAAAAGGTTGACTACGTAATTTATTCTTCACGGTTGGGAATAAATAGAAGTCGTTGGGGCCAAGTCAGAGCTGTAGATGACCCGTTAATTCGATCTTTTGATCTTCCAAATATTTATATAAAAATAGTTTCGGTTATTCTTTTTTATTTCTTCAAAGACTTCTGGTAAACAAATGGTCGTGTACCATTTAGAATTAACCGTTTTACGATCCTCTAGTGGCACTAGCCCAATAAAAAATATATATTGTTTAGTTTCAGGATCATATGCATTTATCCAAGATTCATCACCTGTGTATTTATTATACTCGTAGACATCTTTTGACCCACCCTGATTGTACTTCTGTAACATTACTTTTACACCAATCGACACGAGCCCGTTTTTGTCAATTTTCAAGTTGTACGGAATCCAACTTGAACTTTTTTTTTTACGATTAAATGTTCGTGTAATATTTTATATATACTGGTCATACTTATTCCTAGAGACGCCTCTATCTCGCCATATGTAACATGACGATCTTGCATTATTAGTGCCCGCACATTATCAATATTTTGAGGTAGGTACAACAACCGATTTAGGCCGACCTTTTTTAAATTCCTCGGTGAGTACAGACCGCCTCGATTAAACTCACTAAACCAGTGATACACAGTCGTTTTTGATGGTGTTTTGTCCCCAAAAGTCGAAGTGAGTTGATCGATGCGCTGTTTTTGAGTTAGCCCTCACCGAAAATTGTAATAAATGATAGCACGAAAATTTTCACGACTTAAATCCAGTGATAAAGTAACGCAATTTTCAAAATGACGCCACAAAGGATAAATAATTGACAGCTACGTGAAACAAATTGTATTCTTTAGCCAAAGAGTTCCATTTTTAAATGTTATAATAACTTTTTAAATATTGTTCTGTAACTGGCCAGTTCCGGATACATAAATAGCAGCCCTCGTATTGAAATGTAAATGATTTCCTTGCTTTTAAGAGGTTTTATCTCGTGCACTTTCGCGTCGCTAAATCGGCTAAATTTCGGACTACCCACCTATATTTTTCAAATGTTATGTTAGACCTCAAAGAGTAAACGAGCAGACGGGTGACCTGATGGAAAGTGACCAACACCGCCCGTGGACATCTGCAACTTAGGACTCTTTTTTAGGTCTCTTGCCTTAAGAGGAGACGATAAATCGTGGCTGGTCGGAGATATCATAAGCGACATTTTGTTCTACATTGTTAAGTGATGGGAATAGCAGTTATGTCACGTTGAACGATAGCAGAAAGCTGTGGACGGCACAAATGGAGTGAAATACCGCCTCTATCCACACCAACCTTCTCTAAGGCTAATTTGGTCTTAGCTCAGCAATTTTCGTGGTTATGCTACTACTCGTGACAGGTTCTGTCCTAAAACATATTGTGATTATATAATCATCGTACACGAGCGTTTAAATTACGTTATTAGCCGCTGAGCGAGATTTACGTTTGTTTCACTCTATGGATTATTTGTCAATTTAAAGTTTCTTCGTTGGTAAGGTGATCCCAGGAAGTTTTTTTTAAATTTATGGCTATATTGTATGTTAAATGTCATAACCACAGCAAACAACAATAGAAAATACGTAGTACCTACTTTACCACAGCACGTTGCGGCACCGGTGGCGGTGCTGTGGGCACGTGTGCTCGCGCGTTTTAATCGCATCACATGCATACTGGCATCAAAGTCGCATGCTGAATACCACTTTGATTAGGTACTTACTCGTTGTGTTCAGCGGTTCATCACTTGTCCCTCTAGTGTTGCGCCTGCCTGTATTTCTATTACTTAATGATCGAGATACGAATAACTTGATACTTATGATTACTTCGTTGAATCGAACATAATATAGACCTCCAAAATTACGCCTCATTTCTTTAGAGAGCGTTCCACGTTAAAATCTTTCAACGTTACCAGGTCTGTGTGGTGACGGATTAAGAATACAGAATGTTATCAGCCCTATTCCTTCCGTGGGTGTCCTTAAGCCTAGTCTTAACCGACTAAAGGGAGCAAACTACGCAGGACAACAGCACTGCAAAGAGAAGGAAATCTTGACACAAACCCTATATTAATCCGTAGTATAGTAGGCCAAAACCTCCTTTCTAAGGAGAGGTCTATGAAAGGCTGTTGATGATGTGCTAGTGGCTTCTCTGACAGAACTGACAGGAGTACACGAACCCGCTTTTGTTCTGCGAACTACCGTAGTCTCAGTCCCTATAATCTCTCCGGTGAAATTTTATTACTTAAAAAACTTACAAATATATAACTATACTATATGTCCAGCAGTGGACTATTAAAGGCTGTTGATGATGATGATATAACTTCACTTGTAGTCTGGGCCTGTGTGGCGTCTTTTTCTTACAAGTCGACGGTGAACGAACCAGGCTTCAAGTAAGCATTATTTCTTTGATTGTTTGTATCTTTAACTTTTGTATGGCGGGGGAAGGGGACATCAAAGCAGATGCGTCACCTGATGGTAAGTGACTACCGCCGCCCATGGACATCCGAAACACAAGAACCACATGTGCGTTACCGCCATTGAGTCTGCACTCCAGAATTATGGGTCTTGGCCTTGGGGGTTCGGCCTCCGGTGAAATTTTATTACTTAAAAAACTTACAAATATATAACTATACTATATGTCCAGCAGTGGACTATTAAAGGCTGTTGATGATGATGATATAACTTCACTTGTAGTCTGGGCCTGTGTGGCGTCTTTTTCTTACAAGTCGACGGTGAACGAACCAGGCTTCAAACTTCAGCTTCAGCAAGTTTATTTTTTTATATAATATATACTATATTATAATTTTGTCGCTCCTTGAAACTGCCACCCAGGGCGGGTGCCCCGGGTTTGCCCCCCTAGATCCGGGGCTCCTATTTACTCCGGTAGAGTTGTCCTAATTGTGCCAAAGCATGAGTCTCCCACGGCAGATTCTGCAACTAACAGTCAAATTTCTGTAATATAAAGTATATTTATTGGAGAAGCCAGGCTATGTTACGTAATGCTTCCGCCCTCTACACTCCCTCAACCAGGGAGGGATCTTCAAAATCTATAATCTAAATTGGTCCATCCATTCGCGAGCTATGATGCCACAGACAGATACACAGATATCTGTCTATCTACAGGTTAAACTTGTAACACCCCTCGTTTTCTGTCGGGGGTTTATAATTTAAGTTATTTCTAATTTTTTGTTCTATTAAACTAGTGTAGTATACTCGTGTAGTAGTCGCAGGCGTACCCTGATGACATTTTATTTTTTAACCATTTTGACCCATAACTTCCTTAAAGCGCTTACATAAATTATCATGACACATAAGCATTTATATAGACATCTTATTGTTCACATAACAATACAGCACCATGGAACGTTCCAACGTGACATCACACTATTACAGAAACTATACAATAGCTATTATCTACTTACCATGAAACTCCCCGCAAATAATACTAAGTACCTACTTCCTATGAGCTAGCTACGACATCTTTCAACTAAAATAGAATGATTATGTAATGGATGTTTCATTTTCATATTATCTGTACAACGTTCTAAACAATGCGTCAATATTTGACCTAGACAGCAAATAATATAATAATAGCATCATTAAAAAACCCCCGACACAAAAAACCTTCACAAAACAACAACTGCCCATTAAGATTGTTCTAATAAGCCCAAACATGGTATTCCGCAGACTACTTGATGCAACAGCAAGGTCCAAGTTACCGTATCGTGGAAATAACATCAAAGTAACAGTATACCAAATTTCAGATTAATCGGACCTGTGGATTTTAGTGTGATCCCTTCATCATTTCGAAAGTGACCTGACGATCTTTAAAATTTATAGCTAAGAACCGTTTCGATCACATCGGCTTTCGAACAAAAAATCCGTATCAAAATTGGTAAATCCGTTCGGGAGCTTCGATGCCACAGATAGATACGCAGATACACACTTATAACACCCTTCGTTTTCCGTCAGGGGTTAAAATATTCACCAGGGACTTCCTTTCTAGGGTATACCTGGTTCCCCGGCTATTAGCACCCGAGACGGCGTGCGGTTTTAGTCGGTTCGAGTCCGACAGGCCACCGATAGGTGGTATCCGAGGGGATTTCCGCACGGAAAAATATAAAGGGGTTAAAATATAAGTTTAAAGATTAAGATTTTGTCAAACCTCAGAAGGAAAACAGTAATTCTTTCAGGAACACTTCGTTGTCCATCTACCCTTACTTTTGCCTGTCTCTTAAAACCTATTTCTTAGAAACAGTAGGAGGTACCGTGGGAGAGTCATGCTTACAGGAAACCAGTATTAAGCAATTACTCGTATATTGCTGAATGTACACTCAGTGAGTGCGGTTACAGGAGTCCCAATTCAGAAAGAATGATTCAAGATGACATTTAAATGCTGGCATAGCACTTGTAATTAGTTGTGAATCTTGAAATGCAGAAGTCCACTGGCGGTTG